TCTAAAGGGCCAGCAAGATCGCTCAGCAGACTAAGTGCCTGCTTAGGCAAGTGCAGAGACTGGGGTTCAATCCCCAGCACCACATGCCACGCTGTCCCCACCCTGGGCGTGCTGAGCCTGCCACTGAGATTGAGCATGGTGGTGCACGCCTGTAATCCCACTGCTGAGGAGGCTGAGACAGGAGGATCACTACGAGTCCAAGCTGCATAATGAGACCCTGTGCCAGATACATAAAAAAATAAAATAAATGAATTCTAATTCTTTATTGCATCCAGAGTGGTGGTGAGAACTGACAAGTGGAATTGGTTATGGTTGGCTATTGGTAGACCAGCTCTTGTTTTGCTTCACCACTGACTGACCTCGCCACCCCACTAGCGCACACAGTCACGGAGGAGATGAGTAGGCGGTAAGGCGAGACAGAGAGAAACAAGCCTCCTGTCCAGCCTCCTCTGTGGGGAACTGTTGAATCCCTTGAGGCCTAGAGATGCCTGAATCTTTGCTTGAGAATGTCACTGCCATTCATGTGTAGGTCACATCGCACAAACCATAAACAAAAGTTGTGACAATCCCAGGTACTATTTCGAGTTTAAGAATTCTCTACTTGGAATAAAGCACATCTTTTAATAAATGTAGATGCCTCCCATAACCACTGTGTGGCAGCACAAGAGGAGAAAACATTAATAATTGTCTGGAATCCTGGGCTTTACAGCAGCCACCTCCTTGGGAAACCAAGGGGGACCATGGTTGGCAGGGAAAACTGTTAGCCTAATTGTTTAGCAGGCATGATTTAGTCAACCACCAGTTGGAAGTTTAATCATAGACATTTACCAGTATTTTACATTCATGAAATCTCAAACTTAGGTAAGTTCTTTCAGGTTTGTTTTTTTCTTAACATGACAGAATTTGTCGTGTGAAATGTTAAACTCTAGTCAGTGGCCTAAGAGTTGTACTGTTTATCCTGTTAAGAGGTTCATTAAGAGAATGTAGCAAGTACAGGAATATATTTCAAACAGTTTGACTGAGTTTTATTTTGCAGACAGTCTGAAATTTAAAAGTTCCATGGCCAGGCCATTGAGTTGTATCAAGTGATGTTTCTTGTATTTTTCATTATCATTTCTTCTCTTGGGGGGGGGCCTTCATTAGCCTAAGATCAATGAACAAAATCACAGAAAAGCTAAAAGCCCAGATTCCTAGATTACACTTTAGTGAGGGTTCCTAAGCAAAGCAGCAGGCTGGCTAGTAAAGGTGTGGCTTTGGGTTTGTCGCTTCAGGATGACTCGAGAGTTTGGGAATCACCTAAAGACAATGACAATCCTCTTTCTTGAGCCCTAGAGTGAGTTTCCTTTCTCACAATTTCCATCCGCTGACTTAAAGTTAGAATTGTTACGGTATTGTCAAAAAGTTATCCCAAATTTCTGCTTCATAAAAGTCCAAGCAGTCATTCCAAACTCAAAAATAACCCTAAATATAGTAAAGGAAACTGGATCATCTGGAAACTGCTAGAGTGCATTGGATGAACACTAGCTCTCCAGCATGTGAATTAAACAGTTCCTTTCCTCAGGAGGAGGAGGAGGAGGAGGAGGAGGAGGAGGAGGAGGAGCCTTCGATTTCTGTGTGAACTGTCTGCTTCCTAAATAATGCTTCTGCTGTCAATCTCCCCACCCTCAGTGGAGCCGTGGGCCTTAGGCTCAATCTTTGGCTCAATCTTTTGAATACTTGTTTTTCTCTTGCTGTTGTGCTTGTTGCCAGCAGTGTCCGCGGTGGGGGGGGGGAGCTCCCCACAGACTCTTGCCCCTCAGCCCCTCCTCCTCCATATGCCCTCTCTCTTCCCCTTGCTGCCTGTGGAAGCGCCTGGAGCTCTCACTATCTCCACAAGGCACAGCCCCGGCATTCTCCTTCTAGTCTCCGGAAATGTGATCTGCTTCCTTTAATCATCCATCAGTCCTTCCAGGCTAGTCTCTGGATCTGGGGCCCCAGCCTGTCCTTAGCAGCCCCGTTGGATACCAGATTCCGTGGGCTCACTCTACTGTCTTCTTCATCTGTACAAAAAAGAATTGTAATATGCGGCTCCGAATGGTTTACTGTGCAGAGTATATGCACCATATTATACAGAAAATATATGCTGTGTAACATTTAAGTCCAGTCATAACTTTCTAGTACAGCTTCCTATATTACAGTATTCATTATTAGCTTTAAAGTTATATTGTGGGACAGGTACTTCTCTATTTGCCTTTAATAACATTTAGTCCCTGAAGAGCAGGGCACCAGATACTGCTTCAATAATACATTAACTGATAGCTTTGGGGGTGGTTTTGCTTCCTTCTTTCCTCTTTCCATTTAGACCAACCCTTTATACTTGGCCAAGCTGATCTTCCAGATGCCTCAGAACAAGTCAACTAAATTTATGGACACAGTTATTTTTACACTGTACAATTATGCCTCTAACCAGCGGGAAGAATACCTGCTCCTCAAGCTTTTCAAAACTGCTCTGGAGGAAGAAATAAAGTACGTATACAAATATGTATGTAAAAGTACCAAAGCACAGGTTCTTTTCTTAGTGGACATTTTCTTGGAGTTACTAAAGTAATTTTTAAATTACTGTGATATGTTATCCATGCATATTAAATATATCAAAGTTCTTGAGATTGAAATGGAATCTGCATGGATGGTTGAATTTTTACAAGCTGAGAGCTTTATTTAGGTACAGTTTTCTCTTACCAGTGATCCCTAACTTTCAGTAATTCTGCATGTTCACAAAAACTGGAAACCAAAAGCTTACTCAAAATCAATGAGAAAATTTATCATCTGTGTGACATGAAGTTGTAGTTGTGTTCTCTTCTAAATGGGCTTCCCTTCTTATGAGAACTGTAGCTGCTTTTGCTAATTTTATTTTCTTAATGTGAAAAATATGTGTAAGTAACTGGAATAAATAGAGCCCCCAAAATATTGTATGAGACCTTAATTGCCTTCCTACCTTCTTGAACTTTAAGCTGTGCCAGTTCGTAGGGGTCTCCAAAGCACAGGGACCAGCCAGCCAGCCCTGCATCCAAGTCTGTAAGCCAGAAGAGGTCAGACGCATGAGAAGTAGCAGCACCCTCAGAGAAACGTGGCTGGTCTGAATGAATAGGTGTAGGATGTGATACATTTGGACAGATGGAAAGAAATGATCCATCTATATTGACTGAAAACCATTCTGTGGAAAAGGAGCCACTTCACCCTTAAACTCTGGGGAATTGTTACAATTTTTGTTAGACTAGATCAAAGAGGGAAATAAGTCCCACTAGTGTTAGGACAGATGGGCACAGGTACAAGAAAAAACATAGATGAGTCTGGGCAGTGTGTGACTTGGCGAGCACCAGGAGGTGATGCCGGAGGGACAGATAGGCAGCTGCTAAGGCACTGCTTACTTTCCAGGGTGCAAGAAGGGCTTCTGATCAGGAAGTTGACATGATCATACTGGCTGAGAAGATGGATCTACCTGTTGTGTATGGACTGGATTCAATTTACACAGTTTAGAGACATGGGGGCATCAGAAGAAAAAAGACACAGTCTGGATCTTTAGCATACTGGGTTTGAGCTATAGGTGGAGAACATCAGAAAGTCCAGACTGGCCCCAGAGAGGAGGTAGGAGTTAGACATTGAAATCAGAGGACAGATCCCAAAGAAATGGTGGCTGCAGGCATGTGAGTAACAAGTGGAGTCTGAGGGCAGAGCGTGGGTAGTGTAGGACCTCTAGTTTCATCGTACCTGCCCCTGAAGCACATATACTTAATCATAAAGGGTTAGAGAACAGAATTTTAAATTGGGAAAAGGAACCAGCAAAGCAAATGGACAGGAATGACTGGGTAAGATAAGAACCAGAGAAGGGCAGTCAGACCCTAAAGGGAAAGGACACGGGGGCTGGGGAGGAAGCTTCAGGAGTGGGTGGGGCTACCAGGGGGTGGAGGGAAAAGCAGAGAGGAAAGAAGTCATGGATGAGCTCATGGCTGTGAGTCATGGCCAGGAAGCTGCCTGATGATGGACTGAAGTGGGATCTGAAGATGTAGGAACAGCTCATACAAACAAGAGTTATTTTTAAAATCTGGTAAATAGAAGGGGACCCTACTTGCACAGCATCACGCAGTGTTGCTAGTCTTGGTCCACTTTCAACTCCTATCTGCCTTTTAGATTGAAGCGGGGACCAGGACCTTTATTTTTAGATCCTTAACTTGCCCAGATAAACACACATCTTCTAAACAGTTGCTTTTCAAATTGTACCAATGTTAATCTTCCTTGAGAAGAATCACTCCACAAAGCTCTTGCCTGCCAGAGAGAATAGACATTGTATAAAACTGTCCACAGAAGTGAACCATCTTATTCTGGCCGGGGCTTTCTTTAGGTCGAAGGTGGACCAGGTACAGGACATTGTTACTGGTAACCCCACTGTCATCAAGATGGTCGTAAGCTTCAACAGAGGAGCCCGGGGACAGAACACCCTGCGCCAACTCCTGGCTCCAGTGGTCAAAGAGATCATCGATGACAAGTCCCTCATCATCAACACCAGCCCCGTCGAGGTGTACAAGGCTTGGGTGAACCAACTAGAAACACAGACCGGAGAGGCCAGGTACCAATGGCAGGGTGCTGTTCTGTAGTCATCTGCACGTGCACGCAGCTATAAACCTTTAAAATCTAAGCCAACCTTATTCCATTTAAAAAAAAAAAGAAAAAAGAAAAAAAGAAAATCTAAGCCAAAAGATCCAAAGAGTCATTATAAATCCAAAATTGGTCTTCATTTTACAAACTCACACAAACCACTTTTCTTAGACCTTTTGTCATCTTGGCACTAAATGATGTTTGCAAATAGCAAAACCAGCTGATCCCAAGAGGTACAGCTTCTGTAATTTCCTTCCTTCTTTCTTCCGTGTGTATTTCTACGCATAGACCTGGAGGTAATATACACTTTTTTCTTCTGGTGAAACTACTTTTTGAGTTGGTGAATAAGTTCCATGTATAAGGAAAAACAGTCGCGGTGGGAGGGCTTCTCGTAGGTAGTGCCTTGTGGAAGTCATCAAGTCCAGCCTTCTGTTTTCTTAAAAGAGTTTTGTGAAATACTCAAGATCTTCACATGGGCCAGCCAGATAGCTCAGTGGATTAAAGCACCTGCTTAGGCAGACGCAGAGATCGGGGTTCGATTCCCAGCTCCACATGCCATGCCAACCCTGCCCCTGGGGTGTGCTGTGTTGGTGATTGATACTGGGCATGGTGGGGCACACCTGTAATCCCAGCACTTGGGAGGCTGAAAACAGGAGGATCACTAAGAGTCTGATCTGTGTAGTGAGACCCTGTAGACCCTGTAGATCCTGTGCTAAATACAAAAAAAAAAACAAGATCTGTGCAGCCGGGCATGGTGGCACAGGCCTGTAATCACAGCATTCGAGAGGCTGAGGCAGGAGGATTGTTGCGAGTTTGAGACCAGCCTAAGCTACAAAGTGAGCTCAAGGTCAGCCTGAACTTCATAGCAAGACCCTACCTCAAAGTGGCAAAAAAAAAAAAAAAAAAAAAAATGTTCTGCACAGAGAATTATGCGGCATGATTGAAAAATACAATGAACATACTTTATTTTCCTCGATTACATTAAAAGACATATTGCCATTAATCTCCCTTTCTGACACACTCACCTCATCAATCTTGCCACTACCTAAAAAAGTCCTAGAAGTCTTCTTTCATATTTTTAGTTGTATTGTCGTGGCTGCCTTATAATTAATACAAAGCATTTACCTTGCGTGGTCGTTTTAATTTAGGGGGAGAGGCAGCAGTCCCATGGTGCCAGATCTGGTGAGTCTGGTGGAGGAGGACACAGTGTTTTGGTGTTATTTTTATTTTGGGTTTTTGAGACAGTCTTGCTATGTAGTTCCAACTGGCCTTGAACTTGCAGTAATTCTCCTACGTAGGACTCCCAAGTGCTAGGATTACAGACATGTGCCACCCTGTAGCATTTTTCTGAGTCTGCCTTACCCACTGGATGGCAGCGACTAGCAGCATTCCTCACACCTTAGGGACATCATGCCTTACACGCCCATGAGAGAGGACGTCCATGTAGTATTCTGAGAGGGGTTAATGACAGTTGTTTTTTACTGTAATAGCTCTATTTAAACACTCACGGTACATTTTGATCAAACTTTGTATGAAGGTGCTCATTACAGCCCTATTTATAATAGTGTAAAGTTAGAAAAAGCCAAAATATTTAGCATTGGAGGATTTATTAAATTTTTTATAACACAGAATAAGTAGCTGTTTGTAATAGCAGTATAGATATGTAATCACTAGTACAGAAAATACGGTCATGAGCCAGGCGTGGTAGTGCATGCCTGTAATCCCAGCACGTGGGAAGCACAGGCAGGAGGAATGCCACAAATTTGATGCCAGCCTGGGCTACATAGTGAGTTCAAGAAACTACATAGTGAAACCTTGTCTCAAAAACCTACATACATTTTTTTTCAACTGTAGTTAGATACAGACATTTCATTTTCTCTTTATAAAATATTGGCCATGATAACCCACTACTGGACTATATTGGAATATTTTGCTGAATTCACACACCTACAGTATTTAAATGGCAATGGAATAACCATCCCTGACAAAATTAAACAAAAAAAGGGATACAAATGAGGGACCATTTTGTATATGTATATACAAAATAGCATAGATATACAGCTACTTTCTCTTAGTTCAAGGAGAAGAAAATTTCAGGCTGGGGAGATGGCTCAGTGGAATAAGCACTTCCCTGACAAGCGCAAGGGTCTGAGTTCAATCCCTGGTTCTGGGAAAAAAAAAAAAAAAAAAAACTACCATTCTCAATGAGAAGAAAGTTTTGAACTGATAGTGTTTAGAGAAGATATCATGTCTGCATCTTGTACTATGAATAACCACTATGAAGACAACAATGTATTACAATTGCAATGTATTACTCCGTTTCGAAACTGTCTCATTGCTATTTGTTTCTCAATAAAATTAATAAAATATTGGCCATGAAAAAATAAAATAAAATACTGGCCATGTATATGTACACATACATCAGAGCTATGTGATATATATCATTATACCCATGAACATGAAAGGCCCATACATTCTGAGGTATAAAAATTGTTTTTATTATGTGCCATTCTTCTATAATAGATATATTGCTTTGATGAAAAGAGAGGCTATAATAGAGCACTCGCCTAGCATGTGTGACGTTTTGGGCTTGATTCCCAACACCACAAAGAAAAAATAAAATGAGTTACGTGGATTTGTATTAGACCTGCCAGTGGAGCCAGTGGGTGACCACCAGTTCACCAGCTTGATGTAGAGCCAGTGTGGCATGCATGAAGACCCCTACATAGGCCCCAAGTCCACTCAGAACCCTTGTTGTACTTTCAGCAAGCTACCCTATGATGTGACCACAGAGCAAGCCCTGACCTATCCGGAAGTGAGAAATAAGCTGGATGCGTCCATTGAAAACCTGCGAAGGGTCACTGACAAGGTTCTGAATTCTATCATCTCCTCCCTCGATCTGCTGCCGTAAGTTGGACTTGTAGCAGCTCTGACATCCTTTGCCAAAAGTTCTTGGAAAACTAATGCAAGATAAGCCCTAGTGTGAAGACAGTTCTCCCTCCTATTGTGTTTACTATTTTAAAAGCTAGTTTACATGTAACCTTTCAGATTCATAGCTGCTCTCTGAAGAAGGAGCAGTGCCTTGGTCCCAGCTGCGTATACTGCATTATCACCAGTGGCAGTCCTGTGATTCCATTACCATCTCATTTTATGTTGAATTTTTAGGAAAAGTGCTGATTAGTGACTGGAACAATTGCTGCGTGTTTCTTCCTCACTTAGCTTTTTTCCATTATTTTCTTTTGTCATCTGTTTTACATGTAGTTACGGATTGAGGTTTATAGCCAAAGTACTGAAGAATTCCATCCATGAGAAATTCCCAGATGCAACAGAAGATGAGCTCTTGAAGGTAGATTTCAAGGGTGATCTCACCATAGCTTTTCTTTGGGGGTATGAACCAAAATTACAAATATACCATTTTGTAAAAATTTGCCCCAGGTATGACTATAATTATAAGACTCAAGCCTTCTGTTTCTAATGACTATCAAGATTATTGATTATGGTGAGTTTAATTGGCAGAACCAGGAATTGAACTCAGGCCCTTGCGCTTGCCAGGGAAGTGCTTATTCCACTGAGCCTTCTCCCCGGGCCAATGGTGAGTTTAATTTAGAAATCTTAGACACTAATTGCACTTCTTTATATTGGAGTACTTGGAAGGCAATGTGCATACTTTTCATCAAAAATAATTTTGTTAAGTATTTTAGTGGGTGATTATATTCACTGCCTTTACTTAATACTTTTTGAGGAGTCAAATGAGCAAATGCTCTACTTTCTCTTGGGAAATATAAATAGATTTTTGAGAAAGAGAAATCTAAACCCTTATAGTTTCTCTTTTTAAAATAGTCTTTGTTTTCTGCATCACCACAGATTGTTGGAAACCTCCTGTACTATCGGTACATGAACCCAGCCATTGTAGCCCCTGACGGATTTGATATCATTGACATGACAGCCGGAGGACAGATCAATCCCGACCAGAGGAGAAACTTGGGGTCAGTGGCCAAGGTTCTTCAGCATGCAGCTTCCAACAAGCTTTTCGAAGGAGAAAACGAGCATCTCTCATCTATGAACAATTATTTATCAGAAACTTATCAGGAATTCAGGTGAGGAGAGCCAGTAACCTGTTCATAACAAGGAAGAAAGTGGCTCAAGAGTAACGTGTGTTCTGTCCCTGGAGCTCACATTGTAGGTGGGGGACAGGGATCCCAAATGGCCACAGCATTTCTGCTACTGTTTGCCACTGGGGGAAGAGACAAGACAGAGAACAGGTCAGGAGCTGCCCATGCCTGGTGCTCCCAGCCCTGAGCTGCCTGCTACACGGAGCCCTTCCTCTGTGTGGCTCCCACCCTGGTTTGCTTCACGTTCACAGTGCTTAGCAAAACACTGTCAAGTTAGCAGATTTCTGCTTTGTTGAACCTAAGAATAGAGTAGCTTTTTACAAGATTATTTTCCCTTGAGGAAGAATTTTCCTTATCTGTAACAACAAACAACAGTAGGAAATGAAGTTGGAAAGGTTGGGAAAAACCCAGCGTTTCTGTTTGTGGAGACTGTGCGTGTGTGTGTACTGTCCTGTTCCCAAGGCTTTCTTAATTGGACATGTAGGGCTTCACCATCCTGCCGGTTTGTGTTACAGATCACAACTCTGATCATTCCAATGGCTAACTGATGTGAGTTAGGTCCATTTGTCCTGTGGTTCTGTCTTGGTCTTTGGTGGTTTTCTGGTTTACAGTAGATTGTGGAAGTGTAACACAAATTTGCCCTGTTTCAGCCCATGCTTGGCCACTGATTTTTCCTTTTTTCGTTTTCTGTGGGTGAGGAGCTTACCAACAAGGGCCATGAGTTTATGACCTCCCAAGGCAGGACACAGGCCTTTGTAAGACAGTTACCCAATCCTCTTGCTGCAGCAAGTGCTCATGTCTCAAGCCACTAATTCAGCTTTCACTAATTGAAAAGCCATGTTTGTTACCTGTATCCCTTGAAATCTTTAGCTGCTGATAGAAGACCCTTTTCCTTCCTTTTTTCTGGAATGATTCCTGTCAACTATCTGTGTTCCCAGATCCCCTTCATTTAAAGACAAACAAAACCGAAAGCTTCCCTTGCCACTTCTCAAATTTATCCTTTTTCTCATGTATATCCTTTACATTCATTGGTTCCCATGAAGAAGCATAACCTGAGTGGCCCAGGACAAGCTGAGGATACCCCTCCAGTGCAGCTGCTGGCCAGCTCTGCCCCCTCAGCCCAGGGCTGGGAGGGAAAGATCACTCCTTCAGTGTCAGCTTGGGTGTGTTTAGGAGAGATGCTGAGAGTGATTACAGATGAAATGCTTGCAGCTGTGTGGAATAAAGTATATCTCTCAGATCAAGAGGCTTTAGGCTTGTGGTGTGGGTGTTGTACAGTGGCTGAGTCCATGCTCAGTATGCATTATAAAGTCCTATATGTGTGCGTATGTGTCGGTGGTTAGGTTCAGCGTCGACCTTATGAGGAAATTTGATTCAGCTCTCATCATTTTCACTTTGAGACTAGAATCATGGGATGAATTAAGTTCATGAACTCAGGTACCACGGTATAGATACTCTTTCATTTACCTTTCAGGGGCTGTTTGGGAAATGATAACTAAGATGATCTGCCCATGGTTTGATCACATGGAGTCATAGGAAAGGCCTTAGGCCCTTCATGCTGCAGTGCTGTTTTAAAAGCTGGCTCCACCATCAGAATTCAAGCACGGTCTCCAACACCTAAAGTCAGGGAAAGAAGCCCTAACAAGCCCCCGAGGGGTTGGGATGGAGAACAAAGTGCTTGCCATCAAAGTTTGTTTGTTTGTTTGTTTGTTTGTTTGTTTGTTTGTTTTAGTCCTGGGAATCAAACCCGTGGACTTATGCCTGCTAGGCAAGTCCTTTACCACTAAACTACATTTCTTGACCTGATTGATAGGTAGATTGGCGACAGTGTCTCACTAAGTGGCACAACCTAAATTGGCCTCCAACTTTGAATCCTTTTGCTTCAGCCTCTTAGGTAGCTGGGATTATAGATGTGTGCCAGCTCCTTTGAATTTCCTATTTCGATGACCCTTTCTAACTCCCAAATTCAACTCTAACTTGAATTTCCCCTCCTCTCTTAGGAAGTATTTCAAAGAAGCATGCAATGTGCCTGAGCCAGAAGAGAAGTTTAATATGGACAAATACACAGACTTGGTGACAGTCAGCAAGCCAGTCATTTATATTTCCATTGAAGAAATCATCAATACACATTCAGTAAGTGGGGTCAGGGGGTCTTAGCAATGGGCCAGGGTTCAGGCATCGGTTCACTTCAAGTTATGTGGTCTCTACAGGCCTTGCAGTCTACGTATGGGAATACTCACATTTCTAACCTCGAAACACCCTTCATTATTTATCCTCTGGCTCCTAAATATTAGTAGAAGTCCATCTCCTGAGCAAGAACATTTACTGTTGACACGATCCATTTGCAACGCCCACTTCTAACAGCCTCCAACAGGACCAAGCCCTGGGCTTCTCTACCTGATCTTTGCCCAAAGGCCAAGAAGCAGTATAGTGTTTGAACCTAGAGAAAGGTAAAAACAGGCCACTCAAGGAAGACAAGAAACCCCTGGCCAGTGGTAGCCTCAGCCACAGAGCTACTGCCATTCTTCTGGAAACCTCTGTTTCCTAGAAGTGGACAGATTCAGTCTGCAGCGTCAGTCTCTGTCTGGCTTCACGCAGATGTCGCCACGGTAAGCTGCTGGCACTCCATGGTGGCACTGGACAAGAATAAGAAGGGATTCAGTGGTTTTTCAGTCATTAAGGGTCTTTGTTTTTAAGACAAATTGGGACTTTTGTTCATAAGTCCAGTTGGAGCTAGGTTCTTTCTTAAGGTAACCTTTTCAAGAATAGACCTTGCTAGCTAAGGCAGGGTCCTGGTGGTGCATTAGAAAAGGACTCCAGACCTTTGAAATCTCACTGTGCACTCTAACACAACGTGGGAGATTCTGGTGCACGTGGAAGCAGTAGATGCTCCCACTGAGGATTCACCCTCCCTTGAGTTACACTGAGAGGCAGAAGAAGCATAAAAAACAGAGCCTTCCCAGAAGTTGGGCTCCGCCCTCTGGGAACAGGGCCACTTGCAGGGGCCACTTGGCAGGTCAGTCTTTATCACGAGGTCTTCCAACCAAACTTCTGGTGTGAGCTTGGAGGAAGGATTGGGTCTGGTTTTGTTTTCTCTCTCACAAGGTTGGAACAGGGAACTGCTCTGAAATTTGCAACAAGTTCTGCATAAGCATCGGTAAAGTGAACTACCCTTCTGTTCACTATGTAGAAGCACCCAGGTCACAAAGAAAAGTGCCTGGCCATGCACCTTTGAGGAAAATATTTCTCTCATGAGTAAACAGACTTACTTGTATGAGAGCAGTGTCCCCTTTGTTTTTCTTTCTTTCTTTTTTAAGTGTATTTAGTACAGGGTCTCGCTATACATATTGGACTTGTAGTGATCCTCCTGTTTTCAGCCTCCCAAATGCTGGGATTATAGATGAATGCCTCCACACCCAGTCTCCTCTTTGTCTGTTTTTAATGGGGAGCTCTGTTTCAGAGGGAGGGATGCTGTCTCATGGAGAGCAGAGCAAAAATGCTCCTGGATTCATTTAGACTAGTAGTCTTTCATAAGAAACCATCTGTCCCTTGTATTGACAAGAATTGAAAACAGTGCAATCCTGGGAGACGGGGCGTGTGGGACCTCTGATTTCCTCCATGTGCGGGTCTGAGAGAGAGGCTGTCCTATTTCCTGTCTACGTGTGGAGGCGGCCACAGCAGAACTGCCAAGCCTGCGGCTCTGCGCTCTCTGAGGGATGTGCAGAACTTCAGCAGCCAGGCTCAGAGACATTTTTCAGGAAATGTTTTAAGTTGCATACTTAACAAAATAAAAGGGAGAGGCTGGTCCCTGAAACCATCCCTCTTCAGAGATAGCAGCCAGATCAGCCATCTTTTCTTTAACTTAGTTACCCCAAAATGCCATCCATACCATCCTTCCGAATTTCTCCATGTCTTTATATTACCTTTGTTATTTAATGTCTTCCTTTAATTTAATTCACCTTTTAAAAAACTATGCATATTTCTTTGCTTTAAAGTAATGTACTTCTACTATCAGAAAAAACTAGCAAGCCCTGCCATAAATAGAAATTAAAAGAAAGTATGATGTGCTCAGAGTGGTTGGACACAGTCACTCCTTTGTTTGAGATTGAGCCTCTGAGCAGCTCTCTGTATGTTAAAGATGCCTTTAGAGGCTGGTGGCACAGCTCATGCTAAAACCCTTGCCTAGCTGGATGAAGCCCTGGGTTCATCTCCAGTGCAGCAGAAACAATTCAAAGCCAATTACCAAGTGTTACAAAAATTTAGTATTAAACCAACAGACTGTCCTTCATAATTCTTCAAGATTAAAAGAGAGTGGAAAGGCAGTAACCAACTCAGCCTGATTGGTATAAAGACAGATTAGAAGGACGGAGAGTCTAGAAGTGAATCCTTGCATGGATGGTCAATTTCCTTTCACAAGGGCCCAAGACACTCAACTAGGATGGTCCTTCACAAAGAGCGCTGGGATGACTCGAAATCCACATGCCAAAGAATGGAGTCAGACCCCTTCCTCCCACCGTGTTCAGAAGAGAAATGAACACAGAATGAATCACAGTAAATCTCTGTGGTCTTGGAGAAAGCAGTAGTCTCTTAGATTTGACACCAAGGATACAAGCCGCAAAAGAAAAAAGTAAACTGAGTTTCATCAAAACCTAACAGTTTGTGTTACAAATAGTGCTGTCAGGAAATTGAGAGGATGATGTGAGTGGTGGCGCACACCTGCGATCCCAGCACTCTGAATGCAGGAGGATGGCCAGGAGATCAAGGCCAGCCTGGACTATATAGCCAGACCTATCTCAGGAAAAAATAAATTAATAATAATAATAATAATAATAATAATAATAGAGAGCAAGAGATAAAACAACCAAAAGGCTAAGAAAAAAATAACACCAAATAATATATCTGATAAGGGACTTGTATCTAGAATCGAGTCCTGCAACTCAGTGATAAAAAAAGATTAATAATCCAGTTTTTAAAGAGAGACGTATGAATCAAAGTGCAGAATAAGCCAAATGAAAAACAGAAAAATTTTTACCAGTCATATATGTAGTAAAGGGTTAATCTGGAATATATAAAGATCTAAAGCTCAAGAATAACACCAAAACCGGATTTAAAAAATAAGACCAGGGCTTCAGTAGACATCTCATATACAACTGGTCAGCAAGCACATTAAAAAATGTTAAACAAGGGCTAGCCAAATAGCTCAGTGGATTCAAGCACCTGCAGGCAGGCACGAGGGCCGGGGGTTCGATCCCGGGGTGTGCCGTGCCAGCTCCATCCCTGGGACGCGCTGAAACTGCAATTGTGACTAGGAGTGGTAGCGCGCACCTGTAATCCCAGCTCTTGGGAGGCTGTAAACAGGCAGATGACTACGAGTCTGATCTGGTAGTGAGACCCGGAACACCCTGTAGACCCTTCCCTAAAATACAAGAAAAAAAAATGTTGACCGTCAAGCCAAGCATTGATGGCACCTTCCTGTAATCTCAGCACTCTGAGGAACTGAGGCAAGAAAATCAAGATTCAATCCCATCCTGCACAATTTAAATTAGCCAGACTGCTAGTTCCTCTTTCCCGGGAACCTGCCAACATGGGCCACGTCCGTACCAAGACAGTGAAGAAGGCAGCCCAGGTTATCATTGAGAAGTACTGCACGTGCTTGGAAAATGACGTCCGCACCAACAAGCGCACGTGCAAAGAGATCCCCATCATCCCCACCAGGGCGCTCCACAGCAAGACGGCAGCTATGTCACGTGTCTGAGGAACAGGATTCAGTGGGGCCCTGCACAGGGTATTCTGTCAAGCTATAGCAGAAGAGGAGAGAGAAAGGAGAGATAATTATGGCCCTGAGGTCTCGGCCTCGAATCAGGAAATCACTCAAGTAGACCCTGCCACTAAGGAAATGCTGAAGCTTTTGGATTTCCAGCAACCTCTCCAACCTGCAGGTCACACAGCCTACCATTGGGATGAATTTCATAGCGCTACGTAGAGCTGTTTGAAGCCTATTGCTATGCTGTAATGTTGTCAATAAATTTGGGAAAACAAAAAATAATTTAGCCAGACCCTGTCTCAAAATAAAATTATTTAAAAGAGCTAAGGATGTAGTGTGAAGTCTCTGGACTCAATCTCCATTAAAAAAAAAAAGTTCAGCATCTCTAATGATTAGGGAACTCTAGACCACAGCCATAGTGAGATACCATCTCCTACCCATTAGATGACTCCTATCAAGAACAGAAGTGGTGTTGGCTGGGTATGAAGACAACAGAGCCTTTGTAGGCTGTTGGTGAGAATGTAAAATGGTATAACAGCCATGGAAAGTGTGACAGTCCCTCATCAGTAATTCTGAAGCACAGAATTACTACATGATCCAGCAACTCCACTTCTAGATGTTCAGCCAAAATAATTAAAAACAAAGTTGATGAGATACTTGTATACCCATGTTCATCACAGCATGATTCATGATAGCCAAGGGTCCATCCACAGGTGAAGGAATAAAATATGGTATGTCCATGCAGTGGAGTATTACTCAACTATAAAAAGGAAAGAAACTCTGATACATGCTACAACACAGAAGAGCCTTTAAGGACATTACACTAAATAGACTAAGCCAGTCACAGAAAGGCAAATACTGTGTGATTCCACTAACGTGAAGTCCTAGAACAGTTCTATGTTCATAGAAGCCAAACTTAGCTGAGTGGTGTCCAGAGGCGAGGTGGGAGGAGTAGCAGGAATGCCAGTGAATGAGTGCCGGGTTCCTGGTAATGAGAGAGCTCTGAAGTGAGATGGTGGTGATGGCTGCACCACTGTGAGAGTACACTAAACCCTGTGTCAGAAGTGAGTGGATGGGCTGGTGAGATGGCTCAGTGGTCTAAAGCACCTACTTAGAACAAGCTTAAGCTAAGCAAAGTACAGGGACCGCGGTTCAATCCCCAGCACCACATGCCAGCCAGCCCCGCCCCCTGGTGGGCTGAGCTGACCACACACACACACACACACACACACACACACACACAATTAATTAATTAATTAAAAATTTTTAAAAAGGAGTGGATTTGATAGTATGAAATATTCCTCAGCAAAGCTGCAGAAGAAAGACTAAAAATGGAAAAGGGACTAACTTTATCATTGTGATTCACTTTTTGCCGCAGTTGCTTAAAACAACTAAAATTCTCTCTCCTGTAAGCAGGGATACCAGTGTTTGGAAATACTTTTTCCATTTAATGAGAAAAGCAAAATATACATATATATATATATATATACATATATATGTATATATATACATATACATATATATGTATATACAAAATAGTTAGGATAGATATGCAGCTACCTTCTATTAGTTCAATGAGAAGGAAGGTTTGTACTGATATTGTTTAGATATTATGTCTGCATCTTGTCCTCTGAATAACTACTACAAAGACAATATGCAATGTATTAATTATCGTAACTGTCCTACTAACCTGTTTTGAAACTGTTTCATTGCTATTTTTTCTCATTAAAATGAACAAGGAATTTTTTTAAAAAAGAAAGAAATGCCAGTGAAGACAGATGTGTTGTCTGTCATGGATTTCACCTCCAAGGCTGCTGCTCTAAGACCTGGCAAGATACCCCAGGAGCTTTGGGGATCATGAAAAGGTGGAGCCACCCGTCAGTCTGGGGCTCAGGCCAAGAAACCGTAGGAGTGTCTCTGCCATCCTTACCAGGGAGGACCTTCATTGCTAGAGGACTGAAATAGCTACTAGTGATGATTTTACTGGTAATAATACAGTATAATCTTTGATTTCTGCATAATCGCTCCCTGAAGTGATATGAAAAGGCCCTTGCCAGGATCCAGTCTTGCCAGTGTTTGCTGAGATACCTTTGCCTCATTTTGGTCACAGGTAGTAGGGAGTACAGGGAGCAGAAGGCTGCCCCTGGCGGGTCTTGCAGTCAGGTTAATCCCATACCTCTGCAGCCCACAGTTTTCGTATCAGGTCTGTGGTTAATATTTAAATGATGCTGGGAGGCAACTATGCAATATGGGCATGGGAAAACATAAAGGTGGTGGCAGGGACCTGACTTGTCTCCCATGTGTGGCTCTCTGAAGCTCCTGCTGGAGCACCAGGACGCCATCGCCTCGGAGAAGAATGACTCCCTCAACGAGCTGCTGCAGCTGCTGGGAGCGGCACCCAGCGTGGAGTCCTTTCTTGGTAAGCGCGGTGCCTTCTGCGCCTGGACTTTGCTCATTTGCTTAACTGTTTAGTTCTACTCCCTAAGTTGTTCTGAAATTTAATATTTGAGCTTCTTTAAAGGAAGATACCTCCCAATACCCACCTTTTGTCTACCTTACACCAGGAATTCTGTAATTTTGAATTGGCTCAGTGAAAGACCACCTATAACCGTGTGCAAGGAACTAGGTTTTATTCCCAACACACACACACACACACACACACACACACACACACACAATTTTGTAAATAATAGTCTCCTGGACTAAAAAGCAATTTTATATCCATGAAGGTAAGCTCCAAAAAGTATTTATCAATCAATCTGTCTCACAAAAAAAAAAAAAAAAAAAAAAACTGAAGTAACCAAATTTATTAAAAAGTGACGAATTCCTTTCTATGTTTCCTAAAAACTCTTTCATAGTTGTTCTTTCTCTTTTTGTTATTTGTTCATATTTTACATATGTATCCCATGTTATTGGAATGTTACAGTCAAATGCTGAAAAGCCCACCTGGGCTATAGCAGTGGGTAGACCCCCCTAGGGCGTGGATCGTGCTGCCCCCATACCACGGGCAGCAAGCTAGGTGATAACTGTCTCTCTCATCCCACAGGTGAAGGAGCTGTGGACCCCAATGACCCTAACAAGGAGAACACACTAAACCAGCTCTCAAAAACAGAGATTTCCCTTTACTTGACAAGCAAATATGACATAGAAGATGGTGACGCTATTGATGGCCGAAGCCTCATGATAAAGTAAGTTGTGAGCCTGCAGGCGCATGTCCCCAGCCACACGTGCTGACACACGCACACAGTGAGCCTCGACCCCAGAAACATCACACAGAGGCCGGTGAATACTGCCATGCATCGTGTTTATCACTTAGACATCAGACTGAGGGTAATAGACTTTCTTACTCAGGAGGGAACTGAGCATTGGATTAGTCTGTCTTGGCTTCTGGTTTTCCTTGAAGTGATTTGATTCCTTTAAGAAATAAATGAAATGATCAACTCAGGGAAGTATTTGTTTCAAGGTGGTTGAAAGAAACAGTTCTTTTTTAAAAATTTGATACAGGGTCTTACTACACAGCTCAGACTCATAGTGATCCTCCTGTCTCAGCCTCCCCAGTGCTGGGATTACAGGTGTGTGCCACCATGCCCAGTTGTGGGGCCAGCACATCATGCAGTACTGGGGATCAAACTCAGGTCCTTGTGCTTGCCAAGCAGGTGCTTAGACTGCTGAGCTATCTCCCCAGCCCAAGGAAACACTCTTTAATCAAATTATATTTCTATTATAAAATAATGACATGAAAAGGCACATACACAATAAGATTTGATACCACCTGAGTTGTTGGCCTCCTTTCCTATTAAACTAGTCCTAAAAATGGTCACCAGCTCTGACTTTATTTGTAAGCTAATGTCTGCCTCTAGATCTTAGATGAACTGTCCACACTTTCAACCACTACAGCGTGTCCTGTGGAGGCTTCTTGTGTATGCACATCAGTTGTTCATGCCCAGAGAAAAAACAGCAGCAAGATTCTCAAACACCATAAATCAAGAACACATGCTCTCTAAACAGTGTAGATTCTAGGCCAGGGAGATGGCTCAGTGGAATAAGTGCTTCCCTGGCAAGTGCAAGGGCCTGAGTTCAATCCCCAGTTCTGCAAAAAATAAAAATAAAAATAAACAGTGTAGATTCTGAGAGCTTGCCTAAAGGATCGATGCCTGAGCACACATTCAAACAGTTATGGGGAGAAAGATGGAGACCAGGGGAGGGAAGTGATGAGGAGCGGAGATAAATCCGTACTCAGCATTTCATGCCCTCTTGCATGCGTCCTGCCCTGAGTCTGCAACCATTTCTCACTGGTGGTGACCTCTGTGTCCTGACGTGCTTCAGGCAGCCCTGGAGTATCTGTGTATCTGTTTTCCAGATACACAGCCTCCAGAGATCTGCCCGGACGTGCTAGTTTGTGTGGTCCGCTTCTTGTGTGTGTTGTCCTCGGGTCGCCTGTTGCACCCTTTTTCAAGTGGCAGATGCTCTAGAACCTCTGATCCTGAGCACGCAGCAGAGGACCAGCCAGAGCAGCTTCACTGTCCGGTCACAGGCACAGCCGCAGTACAGTGGCACATCCTCAGCCTCGCAGATGCTCAGAGAAGGGCTTGGAGAAAAGACAGGAAACTGAACTCTGCTCCCTGGCCGCCTCTGCCCAAGTGACAGTTATTAAGGTGACTGGAAATGCAGACGGGGTTGTTCTGCCATGCAGATGCAACTAGATCAATTATCCCATGACCTCATACTCTCTAATGGGATGAAATTTTCTCATAATTCATTTTGTCTGGAACTTGAAGGCCATTTTCTAGAAGCAGGAAGTTCAATTGCCTGCATTTGTGCATGGGTAGCACAGCTTGGTAAACTGAAGTATTAAACCATCTGACGGTCACATCCATTTGTACTAATTTCAGACAAGTGTCTCCATGGCTCTGAAAACTCTTAAAATTCACATTTAATCAAACAAAACCAAAAAATCAGGCCAAGAAGGGATGTTAGGAAGGGATGCACCTCAGCCCAGGAACCTGGAGCGGCGTCCTGCCTCCCTTGTGAAGCCCTAGCAGAGTGGGAAGGAAACACTGCACAAAAGTCGTTGTCTACGCCTCGCTGTTCTCTGTAGAGCCAGCCAGTGGGGTTGTTTTTATTGAGGTGGACAACATCAGTGTCGGGTTTCCTGATCTCTTTCAGGGGCACAGAGGATGCCTTCGGCATCCAAGGGCGTTCGCTCCCCAGCCGCTGCTGACCCCAAGTCCACTTTCTGTCTCTGGAACTTCAGTATTCCAGACATTTCCTATCCATGGAATGCCAGTAGTGCCGTGGCTCACTGACTTAATTCTTTCCTCAATTCAGCTCGCAGAACTTGTCCCACGGTTGCCACCAGAATCAGAGAGTAAGTTCTAGACTAGAATCTTGGAAAGGATTAAGTTCCTGAACTGAGGCACCACTGTGTACAGTGTGTGACCTTTCTGCCTCTGGCTTCTTTTAATCAACAGTGTTTTCTACCTCCAGATTGTAGTCTGAATCAGTACTTTGTTCCTTTTCGTGAGTGGATGATATTTCATTGTATGTTTTGCCCTGTTTTGTTCTTCACATGATGAACATTGGGTTCCTTCCACTCTTAAGTGGAAATAATGATGCTGCATACTCTTGTGTACAAGTTTTCTTGAGTATGTTTGTACTGTTTAATGAGTTGATAATACACATATTTTATCTTAGTCCTTATTCCCTTTTGCTCCTCCTCCTCTCTCTCTCTCTCTTTCTCCCTCTCTCTATCTCTAGAATCCCTTCCCATCTGCAAAAGGTCTACCTTCCTGCTTTCTATCATCTTTTATTTTGCTTTTTAAATTATCTGTACTTTGGGTTTGTCATGTAAGAGAAACCATATTGTACCTTCTGTGTCTGACTTATTTCACTCAACATTTGGGTCCCAAAATACATCCATTTACAAGTTGTGGTCTGAACAGATGTTTTCAACTCTTTGGGTGTATATCTGGGACTGGTGTTGCTGGGTTACATGGCAATTCTGTGTTCAACCTTTGAATGAACCATCGAACCTTTTCTACAGAAGCTAAACCATTGCCATTCCTCCCATCAAGGTTGGCAGGTCCACCTTCGCCATACTCAATAATACTGTTTTTCTTTTACTTTTAAAAATAATAGCCATCCCAGTGAGTATGGAGTAGTGTTGGTTGTGATTTTGACTTGGACCTCTCAGATTATTAGTGGTGCTGGCTATCTGTTCATGTGTTGATTGAACTCTTGTATAACTTTTTTGTAGAGATGTCTGTTCAAATCCTTCCCCCATCTTTAAATTGAATTGGTTTTGTTCCTAAGTTGAAAGATTCCTTGTATAGTCTAGCTACTTGGCCCTTATCAGATACATGATTTGCAAATATTTTTGCCCCTTTTGTGGATTATCCTTTTACTCTTGTACAGTTTAAAAAAATTTTTGTAAGAGGGTATTACAAGGAAATAAAAGACAACCCACAGATAGAACAAAGATATTTACTGTAATTCTCATTTGGTGTGTGCATACAGTTACATATGGAGAGAAAATGAAGAGCACATGTGCCTGTGTAAAGTATATACGATGCACCATATGATCCAGTAACCCATGAGGATAGCGAATATCCTCAGCAACTTGCAGAGGAGGAGAGTGGGCTCAAAACAGATGTAGCTGTGTCACCACTCTTCCTGGGTGACACAGAGCGAAGTGGAGCAGATACTGAAGCCCACGGGTGCGAGGCCTTCCAGAGCCTGCTCACCACATTTGCCGTCTCACCTAGAGCACTGTCTTAGTTACTTTTTACTCATTGCTGGAACAAATACTCGATACTCAAAATGAAGGAAGGAAAGGTTTATTTAGCTCACAGTTACTGGAGGTTTCAGTCCAAATTCAGCTGGCTCCAAGGCAGAGCCGCACAGGGAAGAGGGCAACCTTTCATGGTGGCGGCTAAGAGCAAGAGCGCAAGGGAGGGGTAGCAGCAGCTCAAGCAGCTAGCTTCTCTTCCCACCTTACACTGTAATGCAAACTACCTGCCCCAGGGCAGGTGCAGCATCTACACCCACAGTAATCAATCACAAACTCTAGAAGCCCCCCCAAGACTGCATGAGGCTTTGGGGGGACACCTAGACACAAACCATAACAAGCACATAATGAAGATTGCGTGATGCCAAGAGGGAGTGACTAACAGATTGGAGGGACACACAGGGCACATGATAGACCAGGAGGAAGCACTGTATTCTCTTCTTCTTTGTTACACATTTGTAGAATACAGATTCTTGGCTTGGTTGTTGCCATTTCCCCAAGCAGCGTTGTATTTTAAGAGCCTGGTGGTGGAGTCCCAGAGTGACCACATTACAGCCTGCATCTGTCACTTGTTAACAAAGTCCCAGCAAGTCACCAGTCATCTGTGTTCTCTGCTATAAGTGGGGAAGGAGGAAAGGAACAGGAAGTGAAGTGAGGTAGAGAGGGGACTGTGGCAATCGCATGACCCCAGGCATTAGCACTGTATAAATTACACAGGACTATACTTTTGTAAATCTTTCCTTATTATACCCTGTGATTCATCTTCAAATATGTGACCTTTATGGCCTTCATTAAGCTTGCTTTTCCACAAAAGCATGTGTAAGTCAAAGGTGATATTTGTGGGTTTTAATCATACTTAGCTGCCCAAGTGCTTAAGTTGTCATCTCTTAAGAATTTTTCTCCTCTCACATGATTCAGTTTGGATATCCATTACCCCATCCCAAAGAGCTCTTTGCTTTTGGTTCACAGAGGCAGGAACACTCAGTGGCCAAGGTGAAATTTTAGGTTTGTGATAAAAATGTGTGATGATGTTATTAGAATTTTGAACAACCAGAAAATTCCTTAGTGCCATAAATGCAAATTCCTTCTCAGCCTTGGCACACTAGAAGGTGACAGAAGGAAGGGTGACAGAAGGAAGAGCCCCGTAGCGGAGCTGTCCCAGTGTAGGAGCGGGGCCCATAGGACTGCCTGGCATGGCCAAGGCCAGGGACTGCACCCGCTGGCCAGGAACACACTGCTGTCTCATTATCCAACAGCGGGGTGTGACCCAATTAGGTGAACCGAGCCGCTGGTGTATTACTTGTCTTCATTCAGAATTAGAAACCTCTTCAGGCAGGGCAGGCAGGATCCTTGGTTTGGATCAACTTGTTTGAAAAGCCGTGGGGCTGACGCTCTCCCAGTTGATTTCTACGGCCAGAAATTTCTGGAATGTTGTGTTTGCCCTGGGCTGGGGAGGGACAGGCATCTTAAGAAAATCATTGGCAACAGAAAAGTGAACCAGACTACAAACCGTGTGAGTCTGTTATAAGAGGAAATGTGCTAGAAGGGCTGGAGGTGTAGCTCAGTGGTAGAGTTTGTGCTTAGCATGTGTGAGGCCTGGAGTTTAATCCCCAACGCCACACACAGACACACACACACACACACACACACACACACACACAGAGGTTAAGAGGACATGGTCTCAGCACCCTTCTACAAGTTTGTGGGGTCTGAAGACGTAGGAGAATTCGCACCACTCTGTGCAATAGGAAAGAAGCAAGAGACCAGTGTTTACCCATTAAACCTCTTAGGTCTTTATAGTCTCCTTCATAAGAGCAGACAGAAGGTTCTTTGCTGAGGTCCCCTCAGAGCTAATGTCTGGCCTATGACTAACCATGTCCAGGGAGTGGGCCTCTCAGACAGCTCGCTTCCTGTAGAAGAATGGAATGTTCCAGGGCTGCGCTTTCCAAAAGAAATTCAATAGGAGCCACACATGTCTTTGCAAATTTTCTAGAAGCTTCATTTTTAAAAAGAAACAGATTTTTAAAAAAAAACTTTTTTCAGTTTTCCAGTCAGAAGTTTTATTTGGTGAATTTTTTTTAATTGACACATTGTAATTGTACATATTTATGTTCAATTCATAGGGTACAGTGTAACATTTGAATGCATGTATATAAACAATATATGGTGACCAGATTAGGGTAATTGGTCCATCTATCACTTCATACAGGTGTCATTTCTCTATGTTGGGAGTTGGAACTATTTCTATTAATATATTTTATTTAACTTAATATATCAAAAGTTTTTTCATTTTAATAATCAATGTAAAAAATTATTCATGTGATATTGTTGCTTTCCCATGTTAACTCCTCAACTTCAGTGTGAGTCCTGCAAACTAGGTTTGCTCTAGGCATTGTTTATGGCTCAGCTGCCACCTGAGGCCGATGGCTGCCTTCTTGGGAAATGCAGCTTTCAAGATCCTGTAATGCTTTACATATATCTTTCTTATCAATCCTCTATCATTTCTTCGAGAGATTTCCATTTTATAAATAATAAATAGTAAATAATCAGAATTACTACCTAAGGTGCACAAGTCCACATAGCTAATATGTAACAGGAACCCAGATGTTGATACAGGGAGAAACACTGATCTCCGGTGGGTGGCCTCCAAATGATACAGGGAAACTCCAAATGATACAGGGAAAATGATCTCCCAACCTGACCTGCACGAATGCGTATTCTCTAAAACTGAAGAATGAATTTTAGGAACAAACAGAGGTTATGAGCTGAACATATTTATTGAGGGAAAGAAAGCACCTGTACAAGAGAGGGACAGGAAGAGGGCCCAAGCAGTTGTTTCCCCAGGAAGTTGTCTCTTCCAGGAACTTTTATAGAGTAAAACCATGTGGTGACGTGGGTCTAAGGTGGTGGAGAACATGGGAACTCGCTTAAGTGACCATGAGGTAGGACAAAATTTTGGTCAGCCAATGAGATTACAAGCACCCTTGCTCAGGTAAAATTGATTAAATCCAGGACTAAATGAGGAAGTGAGTCACATAGCAAGGGAGAATGAATACAGGACAGGGTCTCTTCCTTTTGGGGGTTGAGCTAGTGACTCATTTGGGCTCTTTTAAAGTGATAACTATTTAGGATATCAATCCCTAGGGAAGTATGTAGCTGTGTTACCTCTTTTTGTCTTGGTCTTGGGATGTGCCCATATGGGAGTATCTGTCTCTTCCAGGTTGTCTTCCATCTTGTCTCCTTGAGGGCCTGGCCCTGTCTGACTGCAACCATATGACCTTAGATCCGTGCAACCGTGGTGTCCTTAATCCTTAGGTACAAGAGACAAAAAGAGTCGAGTTCCTCACCCTGGGTCTGGGTGGTTACTTGGTTGAGGATGTCTGGGGTAGAACTTCAGCAATGAATTTCACAGGTCTGATATAAAGTAGAAGTCCAGTGGCCAGTTTGTCCTTTAATAAGCCATTCTTTGTCCCACATAGGGCACATATAAGTACCCCATTGCTGGGTCATTAGACAGCTTCCCTAAAGAAGATAAGTTAGGAATTTCCTGGAATTGTGTATCAGAAGTAGCTTGAGGAACACTGTATCAAAAAGCAGTCACTGTTGGCATGTTTGAAATCATCGGGAGCTCTTATTTTTACTTTGGTGTTTTGTTTTTTAGTTCATTTCTGGTAGTGACTGGAGAAGAGAGACTCCTAGGGACAGACACATTGTAATTGTACGTATTTATGCACACAGCTGCTTCAGGGACACAGCCTTCTCCCAGGGGCTGTAATTAGCTGTGCCCCCACCTTCGGCTGTGTTGCAGTCTGGAGCTGTGTGTACATTCCCAGACAGCCTGCAAAGCCCGGCGGCTCGGGGTCTCGGGGCCAGAGGAAATGGCCCTCGGGGGCCTGGGAAGGGGAGGAAAGGAAGATGCCCAGGGCTCAGTGTGCTCCTACAGATGTGTGGTGAATGGGACATGAGAAAAATTCTGTTTACAGATGGCTTACTGGATTTTATCCTATTTCCAAAAATCTTATACTGGGAGTTAACTTTGAAGAGTCACGAACAGTCGCCCTTAGGTTTCAAGGTGTACAAATTTTGTTTTTAACTCTAGTTTTCATGCTGTGAGTGCAAAAAACCACCAGCAGTTGGCTAGAAAGAAATTGTGCTTTGACAGAACTGAAATTCAATAGGATAATGGGGTTATCAGGGAAGTGAAATTTCAGATCTGACCCATGTAGTTTAGGCAACTTCTGTTTGTTTGTTTTGGAAGGAAGGCTCTTTCCAAGAATACTATCCCTGCTTCATATAAGACTGAGAAGGCGGCACCATTGACCTTTACATTAAATTTCTTTCATGACATAGCCAGATCCTTAATTAGGAGGGAGTGGCCAATTGCCATAAAAAGTACTGAGTCACGTGGCTTTCACAATGTACAGGGTTCTCCAGCTCAGCACTTTTTGCCCTCAGCCCTCTGTCCTCCTCCAGCTGAGGACAAGGACCTGGCCTTGTGAGCTCCCTGTCATCCTAGCTGCCCTAAGCCTCTATAGGCCCCATGGGGCTCTTCTTCCCCCTGTCCCCAGGCTGCTCTAACTCTCTCATGGCAGGAGACATGGGGTTTGTTCTGGCTCCTAAAGGCTTATGATGCATTAAGAGGCTCAGCAGCTTACATGCTACTGAAGTCAAGAAAGGGTGGCATTAGCACTCTCTGCCCTTAATGATAGCAGGCCATGTTGGCAGCACTTACCCCTGCTGCCCATCAAAAAGTTGTCTCTGTCTAAGAAGAAGAAAAATACTTAGATAAGGAATGTTATGACATACTTGCACCCAATGAGTGACAGTTTAATCCTCCAACATCCAGCGCACAAAGCCCTGGATTAGTAATCAAACATTCATGAACTGTCAGAAGCCGTAGAGCAGACCAGTGGAGTCCTGCAAGAATGTTTATTTTAAGGGATTTCTTTTGAAGCTTCATTTTTGGACCTATATTCACTCAAAGAACTGGAGTTTTGTGAGTCATGACTGCTGCCTCAAAGTCTCCTTTTTTTCCTTTGTAAGGACAAAAAAGCTGATTATTGATGTGATTCGAAACCAGCCAGGGACCACATTGACTGAAATCCTAGAGACTCCAGCAACGGAACAGCAGGTAACTTGTCCATATGTCTAAAATAAACATAACAAACAGCATTTGATTTCCATAGTGAATCTTCATGGAAGCTGTTCACTGGCATCTGGGAGGAGCAGCTTCTGACACGGCGTGGAAGCAAGGAGTTGGGCCTGTCATGGCAGCCAACTGAGCTCACCTGTAGAAAGCCCATGTGGAATATCAATGGATGGAAGTAGAAAATGGAGCACCAATGCTGTGCTGAATTTAATTGTGCCCTACAGTGCCAAGGCGGTTCTGAGTCTTTCAAAGCCTCAGAAGAGCCATCATATGAGCTTTCCATACAGGGCGAGTCAACCAAGAGATCGTTCTGGTTGCTAGGATGTAGAACCATTCCTAACTCATGTATTTGCCAATGGACGAAATGCATCTCACACATAAAGGCTGTTCTCCCAGTGCTGCAGAGGCAAATGTCTGCGAGTATAGAGTTCAGGTAACATTGGTGTAGGTACATTTCCACGAGAATCTTGCATTGAACTTCTCAGTGTTTCTTAAAATACATCATTATTCAGTTCATTTTCAAATAAGTTAGTTCCCATATTAGGATTTTAGTACCAAGAATTGCTATTCCCTAAACAAAAGTTAACAAAACTATCCAGTTACTTATTAATGAGACATTCTCCTGAATTTTTAAAAATTTAATTGGTTTCGAGGAAACCATTCTGTCCCAGGTTTTAATTTTTAATTTCATATTATTTGGTGTTTGTTAATGCATGATTTTTTTTAAGCATGGGTAGGGGCTGCAGAGACAGCTCATCAGTCTAAGTGCCTGCCTAGGCAAGTGCAGGTACCCAGGTCCAATCTCAGTACCACATGCTCTGATGGCCCTGCCCCAGGAGCATTGAGCCAGCCACCGAGGCTGGGCATGGTGCCACAGCCTGTAATCCCAGCACTGGGGAGGGTGAAACAGGAGAATCACTACAAGTCCGAGCTGCATAGTGAGACCCTATACTAAATACATAAAATTTAATTAATTAATTAATTAAATGTGGGTAGACTATCATCCTAATTTAATATGAGACTTATAGTGTTTATTGTTTCATTTCCCCCCAAATGCATCAGAACTAAATGACTAAAAGCACAGACATTGGCATGGAGTATAGCCCCATACCTGCTTGTTGTGTGATTCCAGACACTTGCAAATATTTCTGTGCCTTAGTTTCCTCAACTATAGAATGAATGGGATGAGGAATAATTTCTAATTCACAGGCAGGACTGAGTTAAAACATGTTGAATGGGTAGGATGGTATCTGGCAAATATTAAGTGTTCAATAATGTTAACTGCTGCCTCTATTGTCATCTGTTCCTAACCTGCCAAACTGTTCCTGCATCCACAGTGTTGCCCCTTGTGCCCTGTGTCCAACATTGCAGTATCTAATTAATAATGGCCGTGTCCACAGACTTCATCTGGTGGATCAGGCAGCTGGCCAGCACACTGACATGGGAAGATCACCATTCTCTCTTTACAGCTCTCTTTATTTCTTGAATGAATTATCTAGATAGTATTTATTTCCTTATTCATAGTCTATTTTGGAACTACTTGTATGCTAGAATATCCTTCTTCCCTTTGGGTCAAAGAAACCCTGCAGGCTGCCTGGCATTAGTAGTTTGAAAGTGATTCCATTCCCGGAGTGAAGGAACCTGCGGAGGGAAGCTCTTTGCCCCTGTCTGGCTTACAGATCTCTGTAATGTGCTGGTGTGAGAGTTCCACAGCCTTGTAGACATGCAGGTTCTCAAAGCCACATTTTAGTACATAATCTAGTTTTAATTGTCTCAACAGGGCTCCCAGGGATTGAAATCCTTCCCTCCAGGGAACACTAATGTAGGGTTATCCATTCAAGCATGCTCATTACTGAGGTAATTTGGCATGTCTCTAAAAAAATTAACTTCTTATAATTTTTCTCAAATTAACTTTGACATTATTACTATGTTAGAAAAAGCGATGTACTGGAGGGTTAACAACCTAAGTTTGCAGACCAAAATTAGAGAAAAAGGAGGACTGCAAGGAAAGCCAACATTTTGACCCTAGCCTTCCAAGGTCAATTAAGACTCAGGACATATAAGAACTTGTACTGTAACGTCATGTAACTCGGTAGTGTCCCAAATTTTCTGATCAAGGAGATTATGGGGCCAATGAGGAAAGTGATCGATGATGTAGAGTGTGCCTAAAGAGAGTCACATGGATAGAAAACATTCTCTCAGGCTTTCACAGAGAGCACATTGGCCAAGCAATGGCTGTGACTCATCCACATGGCTGACACTGACAGGTTCTACAATCTGAGGTACAGGATCTCAGGATAAATCCTGAGGGGATTTCACTGACCTTATCAGACCCAAAAGCTACAACTCTTCTTGCATAGGTCCTGCTTTACCTTGGTCTTAACCATCCAGCAGAAAAGTATAAAAACAAAGTATAAGAAGTAAAGCCATGCTGTTACGTTGAGCTGTAGGGGACTCAGGTCAACAATTTCTGACATTGCCAGTGAAGCAGAAGACCCAATACTATTATGGACTACTGGACTCTTTTTAGAATATTTTGCTGAGTTAGCACACCTATAATATTCAAATAATGGAACTTAACAAAAAAGGGGATACAGATGGATGTCTATTTTGTATCTGTGTATTCAAAGTAGTTAGGATAGATATATAGTTACATTCTCTTAATGAATAGAGGGATTTGTTCTAATGGTGTTTGTAAATAGGATCACAAGTCCGCATCTTGTACAGCAATTAGCCATTAGGAAGAATGTGTGCAGTGTGTTAATTATTGAAACTGTCCTACCAATTTGGTTTGAAACTGTCTCATTGCTATTTGTTTCTCAATAAAATTATGGAAAAAAAAGAAAAAGTGATGTAATTCTTTTCAAAGTCCTGATGCAAAGCCATAAGGACCAGGTTAGTCTTTGGCCTTTGTCTTGAGGACAGCCTTCATTTTGACATAAATTTACCTTGTGTGGAACCTAAATCTGAGATTAGGGGAGTAGAGAAAAACCAACACCAAGTCTTCCCTTTTCAGGAACAAGATCACGCCAAAGACATGTTGAGCCGCGCAGCGATGGACTCCCGAACTCCAGAGGACGGGAAGCAGAGCCAGGCAGTGATGGAAGATGCTCAGCTGCCTCTTGAGCAGAAGAAGAGGAAAATCCAGAGGAACCTGCGGACGTTAGAGCAGACCGGACATGTGTCATCCAAAAACAAGTACCAGGATATCCTCAATGAAATTGCCAAGGTGTTTGGAAGCAGTATTTTCTTTTTTACTTAGCAAATGTTTGCTCAATATTGGGTACACACCCACGGGGTACCCTGGAGATGGCATGAAGGGACTTGCAGTTATCTATGCCGTAGTTCTACTCTCCTTGGAACTGCCGATGTGCAGAGGTTCCAAAGAAGTGGGTGGCTTTTAATTGAGAATAACCAGGCTGGGGCGATGGCTCAGTAGAATAAGTGCTTGCCTGGCAAGCGCAAGGGTCTGAGTTCAATCCCTGGTTCTGCCAAAAAAAAAAAAAAAGAAAAGAGAGAGAAGAAAATAACCCCAGCTCTCCAAACCACTTGGGGAGCTGAAATGTACCAGAATAAAAGCCCAGGAGATTCGATAGACAAGTTAGATCTGGACCGGTAAGCAGTCCTTACTGCTCTTTTGGTGATGCTTATAGGAGAGCTTTCTGCTGGAAGAGATTGGTGGTGGCTCAGGACCTGCCATTGTGTCAGTCTCTTGGGGTCCATGAGATTTGTTTCCTAGAAGCTTAGCCGAATGCAGGTCAGACTTGAAAGCCTCTGTTTTCTCATCTTGTGCTTTCACATTGGAGAAGCTTCCTGAGAAAATGATCTCAACTTAGTGCAAGGAAATGTCACAGGAAGTGGGGACATCTGTTTGTCAAGGATAAACAAGTATGTACTTGAGCAAAGAACACACTTCATTCCTATTATCTAAACCTGCAGCTAATATTGGTCTATGGGTTAAAGGCAGTTAATTGGCCAGGGGGGAAGACTAACTTTTACACTTCCTGGAAATAAGATGCATATGGTTTCGTTTTTGATGGAAAATGGTGGTCAATTCTGAAAGTGCTGGATCCTGGCCACTAGGACACCGGGGAGATTATGGTTGGTTTTGAAACTAAGCTTATATTCCCAGCATGCACAACACAAAGGAGATAGCATATTTTCTATAGCTTCAGAATAGAAAGTATTTTTCTTTGGGATTATAAGGTAAAAAAAAAAAATCAGTGCTGCTGCTTTTGTTCATACTATTATAAAGGTATATACCAAAATACTCCATTTAATGAAGGTTTTCACTTAGGGAGAATGTGTGAGATGGCTTTAATTTGTTCACAAAAGAAAACAAGATTAAACAGATACCATTTTGTTAAATGAGGCATTCTCTTAACTTACTGAATGGAGTTACAAAAAGCTACCTGTTTAAAAAAAAAAAAAAAAAAAAAAAAAAGCTACCTGTTTACATACAGTGCAGCTCGGCCTGACATGGTGGACCTGAGTCCAAGTCCCGGCCTTCTGGGAGCCTGAGGCACAAGCATCACAAGCTCCAGCCCAGTGGAGGCAGCTCAGCGAGACTCTGTGTCCAGAGGGAGGGCGCTGGGATGTAGCTCAGTGCAAAGCCCTGGATTCTATCCCTAGAACCACCACACATCAAACAATATTAGCGCAGTTCTTGTAAATAGCTTACTCAACTTTGTGTTCCAGGAATTCTATGGAAATGCAAGTATAGTCATTTCTTGGTATTTCTGGTAAGTGGTTCTAGGACTTCCCACTGATAAGCAAAATCTCTGGATGGTCAAATTCCTTAAATGAAATGGCAGTTTTTGCATGTAACCTGTGTATATCTTCTCATATGTTTTGAGACTGGAGTCTTGCGATAATGCTCCTCTTTCCCACCATAGTGATTTTCCTGTCTCAGCCTTCCAAGTAGTTGGGGCTGGAGGTATGAGCCACCAAGCCCAGTTCTCCCATACAATAATAACCTCTAGAATACTCATAACACCAAATACAATAGAAACATGGCAACGTAAGTCTGTACTGCAGTATATTGTTTAGGAAGTAATAATAAGAAAAAGAGTCAACCTGTTCAGTACAAAAACAGTATTTTCCCATGTGTGGTTGAATCCAGATGGGGAGCCCAGGGAAAGGGAGGCCTCAGTGTTGAATACTTTAGCTCAAGTGTTACTTTACAAATCTCAAAAAATACTTATCAGCTGGGTGTAATGTCTCACATCTGTAATCCCAGTCCTCAGGAGGCTGAGGCAGGAGGATCACTGAGTTCAAGGTCAGCCTGGGCTACATAGTGAACTCAAGCCTAGCCTGAAATACACAGCAAGATCCTGTCTCGAAAAAAAAGAGAGGGGGCTGGAGAGATGGCTCAGTGGTCTAAAGCACCTACTTGAAACAAGCTTGACAAAGCTCAGGGACCACGGTTCGATCCCCCAGCACCACATGCCAGCCAGCCCGCCCCCTGGTGGGCTGAGCTGGCCACACACACACACACACACACACACTAAGTAAATAAATGTAAAAAAAAAAAAAAAAAAAAAAAGAAAAAAAAGAGAGGAATATTTAACAGGTGAAAATGTTTTGCTTATTACAGAAATGAAACCTATCAGTAACCGGATCTTTTCAATTTAAAATATTCTTCAAAGGAAAGTTCAAAATGATGCAAAGAAACCCCACTGATTTCTCTGTACTCTTTTTTCAACACTATTTTTATATAAATTTATTGTGTAGTTATTCTAAAATTACTTAGTTTTTCATCAAGAGAAGAATAAACCTCAGCAAGCCTTTTAAGGTGAACTGTAGATACTCTATCCAATTCTGAAGTAGAAGAAAGATATAAATGCTTGGGTGTTGAGATAACGTACATCAGGCTGGAGAGATGGCTCAGTAGAATAAGCGCTTGCCTGGCAAGCATGAGGAGCTGAGTTCAATCCCCAGTTCCGCCAAAAAAAACCCCAAAGAGATAAGGTATATTCACAAGGAGCCTGAGAAGAGCTACAAAGCAAGAGTCAAGGTGACTTAATATTTGTTCTCATCCAAGTTATGATCCCATAGAGCAGATTTCTGCTCAAACTTGTTATTATGGCCTTTCCTTATTGTTTTAGGATATTCGAAATCAAAGAATCCATCGTAAGCTTCGCAAAGCTGAACTGACAAAACTTCAGCAGACTCTAAATGCACTGAATGAGAAGGCTGCATTTTATGAGGAGCAAATTAATTATTATGACACCTACATAAAGACTTGTTTAGACAACTTAAAAAGGAAGTAAGTGACAATAGTCTATTCCTTTATAATACCATCGTTTATATGGGAGACTACGGACTTGCTTGGCAGGATTGGGTTGGGTTTGGAACTTGATTTCCTTGCTGTCTTTTTTTTTTTTTTTTTTTTTTTTTTTTTTTTTTGTACCAGAGATCAAATTCAGGAACTCATGGTTGCCAGGCAGGCACTTATGCCACTGAGCTGTATCCCCAGCCCTTTTTGCTCTGTCTTCTATCTGAAATTAGCATTTTCATTTTATGATTGACTACTGTGATCCAGAAAGTCAGGAATGAATGTAGAAGCTTTGAGTACTCTATCAGCATTAAAATTAAAGGAGTTTACCCTAGTTTCTTTCAAGCAAGTAGTGTAAATATTCAGGGAACACTTTATTCCTTTTGTCTTTGTATTTTTATTTTTTTAATTTTTTTTGGCAGAACCGGGGATTGAACTCAGGCTCTTGCGCTTGCCAGGCAAGCACTTATTCTACTAAGCCATCTCCCCAACTCCCCTTTTGTCTTTTTAAATTAAAAGTTTTTTTTTTTTTAATTTAAACTTGTTTTTCTTTTTTTTTTTTTTTTGTGTGTGTGTGTGTGTGTGTGTGTGTGTGTATTTTAAGGAAGGGTCTACAGGGTGTTCAGGGTCTCACTACTAGATCAGACTCATAGTGGTCTGCTTGTTTATAGCCTCCCAAGAGCTGCAGGTACAGGCACACGCCACCACACCCAGTCTCAATTGCCCCAGGGGCAGGACTGGCACAGCAGGCCAGGGGATCAAACCCTTGGCCCCTGAACCTGCTTACAGGCATTTTAATCTACTGAGCTATTTGGCCAGCCCCTTTTTCTAGTGTCTCGGGGTTTTTTTGGCAGAACCGGAGATTGAACTCAGGCCCTTGCACTTGCCAGGGAAGCACTTATTCCACTGAGCCATCTCCCCAGCCCTTTCTAGTGTCTCTTATAAACAGAATTTTATATACTTGATAATTTTAGATAGCGTTAATATTCAGGAAAGCATTTTATTCCTTTTGTCTTTTCAAATTAAAGGGATCTTTTTTTAATTTTTTTTTTTTTAAAAACATGTTTTAGGGGGCCCGGGGAGATGGCTCAGTAGAATAAGTGCTTGCCTGGCAAGTGCAAGGCCCTGAGTTCAATCCCCAGTTCCACCAAAAAAATATAAATAAATAAAATTAAAATTAAAATTAAAAAACATGTTTTTCAGGGCTGGGGACATAGCTCAGTAGAATAAACACTTCCCTGGCAAGTGTAAGAATCTGAGTTCAATCGCTGGTTCTGGAAAAAAAAAAAAAAAAGTTTTTCTAGTGTTTCTTATAAACAGGATTTTATATACTTGATAATATTAGATAGTGCCAGATAATTGCTAATTGCAATGACATCATGATTTAAAATTCCTTAATTGTTTTAAAAATCATTAATTGGCAGTTTTCTGCTATCCATTAAGATATCTAGTGTAGATTTTTGTACACACCATGGCTACTTAATATTCTTTGCTCATAATTATTCTTACCACTAAACCAATGTTGATGTTGATTAAATTTTAATTACCCACTAAAATACCTAATCCAGCATTCTTGAATAGCACTAGCCTTCACTCTGGCAGTAGCAAATGATGTGTGGAGAACTTTGCAGTAATCATAGAAGATCTGCTGCAAACCTCATTTATGTGTGCCCTCCTAGTTCCGGGTTTGGTTCATTTGCTGGTAGGCTAGGTGTATACCTGAGAAAAGGAGTTGGGCAAGCTAATTTCCAGTCACAATGCGATTGTTAGGGTTTGCTGTATAGTTGCCATAGCTACTTTAAGGCAACCCACAGCAGCTCTGCAGGCAGATGATGAGAATATGGGTTTAGATTATCTCTTACATCATTGTATCTTAAATCCAGTTCCGTGAACTTCCCTGATCCTCAATCTTCTCATCTTTCAGATGAGACTAGGTGTGCCAGCCTCACAGCTGTTACAGGAGCTAGTAAAATAATAGGTGGCAGAGGAATCAGTTAATTGCAGAGAATGTTGGAAATGTTCATTTTGTAAGCGTGAATAATATCTATAAGGGCCTTAGAATAGCACCAGCCAGAATTCAATTCAGTTAAAAGGAAATTAAGAAAATAAATGTAATTGATTGATTAAGTTAAATAAAAATTAATTGAAGCAGTCCTAGTATTACCTTCACTCAGGAGTATACAATCCATGTCTTGCACCAGAGCTGCTTGCAGAATGACTTGTAACTTGTTCAGTCAGCCTAAGAAGTAAGTTTTCTTAAAAATGGTACCCGGTAACACAAACCTCACTTGGGAAATCCTTGCCCTTAAACAGTTCAGTAGTGAGGTTTTCCTGCTTGGGAAAAGTTGTTACCTGTGTCACAAAATGAAAAGTGTGTTACAAACCGTGTGGGGTAGTACTCCGACGGGTGGTCTATTGTTATTTGAAGACAATATGCAGTATATCGCAATAATATGACCATTGTTGAATTCCTGTTATTTTGTTTAGTGGAATTCTGTATTATTTCTAATTCTTTGTTTGTTTGTTTACTATTTTTTATTCTCTTTAAAAAAATTTTTTTAAAAATCTATGTTAAAAAAAAGAAACACTCGGCGGTCCATCAAACTGGATGGAAAAGGAGAGCCCAAAGGCATGAAGAGAGCGAAACCTGTGCGGTACACGGCAGCTAAGCTTCATGAGAAGGGTGTCCTGCTAGGAATCGATGACCTTCAAACAAACCAGTAAGTGTGGCCAGAACCATAAAGAACACCTGCGTCGTCCACTCAGATAAAACCTGACTCAGCACTTTCTCATCTATAGGCGTCACTTCCAGGTCCTCATCTCCATCCAAGAAGCCAGTATTTGTAATCCCAAAGTTACATTATTGGGATCCCATCAAGTCGATTCCAATCTACCACTTCCAATGCCACCCATGGCGAAAATAAAGACACTAAATTATATTTTCAATCATTGGGGAGTCAAGGGGCTCTAAGCTCAGCCACTAAGATGGCTTCCTGGAACAAAGAGAGCGACCCAGGGCCTCACCCAGTTTTTATTCAGTGGAGGAGTGGCTTGAGGAGGATTGACTGAGAACTGTGGGAAGCAGGTGACTACTGTGAGCTGAGCTAGGTGGGTGGCCTACATTTACCTCTGCCATATGCAGAGAGAGTAATCTGCATTATAATATTATGCCATAGAGATAGTATCCAATGTTTTGGGGGCTCTGGTGCTTCAGCTTTGATGTAGTCTTTCAAGCCCCAGGAAGTCATAGCCTCTATCTCGAGGCTCAATCCCAGCTGGCGGCACAGAGCATTAGCTTTACCGTCCTGTCTCCACCCAGCTCACATTAAAGAGCAGCAGCAGGTATAGGTTACCAGGGAAACATGTATGCCACCTTCAAAGACTATCACCAGCACCTCAGCTAGACTAATATACATTGCTTAAGGCCTACTGGAGGATAAACAGAAGTCCTAGCCAGCTCTGTACGTAACAGTATGAGGAAATAGGGTCAGACTCAGTCAAAATGGAGACAGTCGCTCTTCTTCAAGGAGAGCTGCTCAGGTGGTCCTCTACACTCGGTATCCTTGGCCTTACAGCTGTACGTGGTCTATCAAGCTCATTCTTGAGTCCACATGACAAGGGATGACCGCTTCCTGGGGTCGCCAGCTCTCCCTCAGGCCTGCGTGTTTCCCATGGTTGTCCAGCATGTGGATATGTGAGCTTCCTGCTTTGTCCAAAAGGACCAAGTCACAGCAGTGAGAATAAACAGCTGTCACTGGGTCTCGACAGAGGAGCTGGGGACAGTTGCAGAACAACACTTGTCTCTTTCCCAAGCCACAGACCGTGCAGCCCAGGGTCAGGGCCACTTCCACCTGTACACTGTAGCTGTATGTCCTCAAGGTGGAAGAGAGAACAGAAAGCTACCTCCCCCAGCCCAAGTAGGCCAAGAGCAGCTTCCTTTGAAAGGAATCATAGCCCAGTGCCTCATACCTCCCTGTCCTCTGTCTCAAAGGATGTCAGGATGTCATTTTCCTCCTTTCCAACTCCCACCTTCCCTCAAGCCTTCCGCTCTATTGATCTCATGAACCCTTTCATCTGCACAAATTTAGAGAAAGATCTTCCTCTTTCAAGGTTTCTGGAACAATTACCATCTGGGCAGCTTTCCTGTCTCTGGGCCCAAATGCCTGACAACCACAACTTAAAGGAAAAAGATGGTTTCTGTGGCTCACAGTTTCAGGTTGCCGTCCATGGTGCTGCTCCAAGGAAAAACATTGTGGGGAAGGGCATGGTGGAGCAGAGCTGCTTAGTTCATGGCGGCTAGGAAGCAGAGTAGGGAATGGCACCAGAGAGGAAGAGGCTGGGAACCAGATATGGTACCCAGAGTCATTTCTCCAAGACCAACCCAGACGCACCCAGAGGTGCGCTCCACCAATCCTATGTTTGGCTTCCACACCCATCAACACCCCTGTCACTGCTGCCTCGACAGCAGCATGGACCCATGTTTCATTCTCATCCTCTGACTTTCATAGACTCTCAGTTATACTTTATGTTCCTCAAGAACAAGGGCCTTAGGGGCTGGGGAGATGGCTCAGTGGAATAAGTCTTCCCTGACAAGCGCAAGGGCCTGAGTTCAATCCCCAGTTCCGCAAAAAAAAAAAAAAAAAAGAACAAGGGCCATGTCTTCTATGTCTTTTCTAATAAAGCACCTATTTTAGTGGCCTGAGCATGCAGTGGTCAGATCTCAACAACAGCCATCTGGTCTACCATTTAGGGTGAAAAATAGGATGTGAGGTTTTTGGTGCCTTCCTTAGCATTCTAGTCACCAGCTGCCACTATGTGGTAAACTGGGCTTCCATTCATTTGAAATTTAGGTGTGTTTGTAATTACACATGTGTGAATGTTCTTTCTTCCCTAGGTTTAAGAATGTTACATTCGATATCGTAGCAACTGAAGATGTGGGCATCTTTGACGTCAAATCAAAATTCCTTGCTGTTGAAATGGAAGCAGTGCAGCTTAACATTCAGGTAGGAAGGGGTTGGGGCTAAGCTTTTTTTTTTTTTTTTTTTTTTGGCAGAACCAGGGATTGAACTCAGACCCTTGCGCTTGCCAGGGAAGCGCTTATTCCACTGAGCCATCTCCCCAGCCCAGGGGTAAGCTTTATACAAGGGCCATCTGTGGCTTCCCTGGCTCACTGTTCTTGACATCTGTGAAGTTCAACAGACAGCCAGTGCTGAGCTTATGTGCCAGGCTCATCTCCAAGTGTTTGGTTTTTGTTTTTTTTTTTTTTCCCCCTCTCTCTCTTTGATTGTTTTGTTTGTTTGTTTGCATTTTGTTTTGTTTTACGTTGCCGTACTGGGGATTGAACCCAGGGTCTTGAGTATACAGGAGAAGCACTCTGCCCTTCCACTGTATCCTCTACTCTTTAGCTTTCAAAGAAATTTTATGAGTCACATATGTAATTTTCCTTTTTTGTTAGTATGTGTTTGCAGTACATAAGGACTACGCTTATTGTGGGGAGTTGGTAAATGTACAGATTTTTTTTTTTTTTTTTAGTGGAACCTGGGATTGAACTCAGGCCCTTGCACTTGCCAAGCAAGCACTTATTCTACTGAGCTATCTCCCCCGCCCCAAGATTTTATTTTTGAGGCAGAATTTTTGCTCAGTTGCCCAGACTGGCTTCAAACTTACAATTCTCCTTCCTCGGCCTCCTAAATAGCAGGGATTACAGGTGTGTGCTACTGTGCCCAGGTTGGTGATTTTTTTTTCAAGGTGCTAGAATGTAAAATACTTTCAGATGATAAACCATAGTGGTCAGATTTTCTAAGTCATACTTCTATTCTGAGCTTAGACGAAAAATAAGAAAATACTCAAAGATTAAATACTCAAACAAAAGATCAAACAAATCCTGCCACATACTCCCCTAGGGATGGACATCAGGGATCAATATTCTAAATAGGTATCAGTCACCTTGAAAAAGCCAGGAACAGCCACTAACCCAACCCCCTATAGGAAAAGCCCGTGTTCCTTACTCACACCTGCTTGCTGTGTGACTCACTTCCCCATTTGATCCTGGTTTAATCAATTTTACCTGAGCAATTATGCTTGCAGTCTTATTGGTGACCTGTAGTTTTGGCCCACCTCATGCCTACCTAGAAGATTCCCATGTTTTCCACCTTAGATCCAGCAAAACCTCTTGATTTATTCTATAAAAATCCCTAGAGAGGACAGGTTCCATGGCAACCAGCCCGGGTCCTCTTCTGTCTCTGTCTCTGACAGAAGCTTTCTTTCACCCAATAAATCTATTCTGTTCTTCAAAAATATATTCTATTCTTTGAAAAAAAAATGTTGAATAAGGCTAGAAAGCTTCCCTCTGTTAGAAACGTCACTTCTTTCTAAGACTCTGTACCCAAATTTAGAACTTTTCCTTCTCCTGTTTCTCCTTTGTCCTTCCTAGAATAATTTTTATGTCCACTTCTTGAATCTATTTGTTAGATGTTTTGGATCATAAGAATGAAAGACATGGTCTAAAACACATACCTAGAAGTAGAAAAATCAGTGTTTGCAGTGTGAATTATCAGTGTCAAGTCTAGATGTGAAAAAGAAAAATCAAAGGGCAGGGATGTGTGCAACAAATGCATACCTTTAACCCTCGCCTTCTCACCCAGAGGAGGGGGTCCACTCTACAGAAATAATGGAGTTCTTCTCTTTCATGTAACCTTTTTTTTTTTGTGTGTGTGTGTGTATTTTAGGGAAGGGTCTACAGGGTGTTCAGGGTCTCACTATTAGATCGGACTGGTAGTGATCCTCCTCTTTACAGCCTCCCAAGAGCTAGGATTACTGGTGCACAACACCATGCCCAGTCTCAGTTGCAGTCTCAGCCCACCCCTGGGGTAGGGCTGGCAGGGCAGGCCTGGGATCGAACCTCCAGCCCCTTCACCTGCCTGCAGGTGCTTTAATACACTGAGCTATTTGGCTGACCTTGTAACACTTTTTAAAATTCCAGCTGTTTTCCTGGACCTCTAGACATCTGTGCAATGGTTTCCAGGCCCTCTGCACAGAGCTGTGTGAGGGCTGAGCCCGGGAGTGAGCTCACTGCCAGCCATGCCAACTTAGCCCCTGGCTCGGTGTCTTGAAATGAAATGCCATCTCCTCTGGAAGTCATTGCCAGAGTCCTTTTTCTCTCCAGTCCTTCTAGCCTTAAAAAGAAAAATGGGACCTCAGTGAGTTCCATAAGGACACTGGATGAAAGATGATACATAATTATAGAAAGAATACTTTAGTAAATGGAATTGTTTTCCAGCTTGTTTTCAATGTCACCATGTGTTCATGCAGCAGCTTCATTCACGAGAATCTCTAGGTGCTCTAGGTAATGCTTAGGGGAATACACGAGGAGAAAATAGGAGGTCATGACACACTGGAACCTTCTCTAGACATGGCAGAGACGCGATGGGTTGCTAACAGTGTCTACCAGCTGGCTGAGTCGCAAGGAGTGAGACCCTGCTTGTGGAGAGAGACAGCTCAGAATCGTGTACCCGTTGCCCACTGGCACCGCAGTGCAGTTGGCAGCTTTCTCCTCTGCTTACACTCTAGGAAACACCTTCAGAAGGTCAGGGCATCCTGCAAGGTCTTGAGTTAGCAGATGGTAGAACCAAGACTTTGGTTTTCCAACCATGGACATTGCCATGTTTCTCTGCTTTCTGCTTGGCAGCCCACATACATCATTCCTTCTCAGCTTTACCATGTTTGTTTCATAGTTTTCTGAGAGAACTCGATAACCAGTGTGGCATCTCCCAGAGGAAAGCAAATCTCCACTGCACCCTGCTAGGGAAGGCATTCTTGATGGAAGGACGTCAGTCCCCTGGGGATCTACAGACCCAGAAGCAGGGCTAAACAGTGTAGGGGTGGAGGTGAGCCCAGGGATGTGACAGAGGAGTGGCAAGTTCTCTCAAAGGTGACTCTTAACTGCTGCATAGCCTCACTTAAGAGTCCTCAGGCGTGGGGCTGGTGAGATGGCTCAGTGGTCTAAAGCACCTACTTGAAACAAGCTTGGCAAAGCACAGGGACCGCGGTTCGATCCCCAGCACCACATGCCAACCAGACCCGCCCCCTGGTGGGCTGAGCTGGCCACACACACACACAATAAATAAATGTAATAAATAAAAATAAATAAATATTAAAAAAAAAAAAGAGTCCTCAGGCGTCATCAACAACCAAGAAATGCTCAGAGCTGGCAACAGAGCAGTGAGACCTAGGAATTGGTCCAGGGCAGCTTCTGATTGAGACCTTCTCTACCCACGTGTCCTGTGTGACCCTCAGTCTCATGCCTGTGACTGGGAAGACATAGCTCTGTTTTAATGTAGTGCTTTTCTTTGTTAATGTAGTGGCAATGAAAGACGAAGTGAAAGGCCAACTTGCATGTGAGAGGCAGTTGTACTCTAGAGCTGGAGAGGTATTTGCAGTGTTCAGAGCTTGCGCACGGGATTTCATCAGTACACAGTATGACTGCTTCTCCTGTGTATAGCAATTTGTTTTATAAAGCACACGTTTCTGTCACCATACCCTGAAATGTGCTTTATGATATATATACAAAAGTTAAATGTTTAACAAATCAGGATAAATAATGGACCGGGTGTGATGGCGCACATCTGTAATCCCAGCACTCTGAGAGGCTGGGTAGGGGGAATCAGGAGTTCAAGCCCAGCCTGGGCAATGGAACAACTTAGTGAGACCCTGTCTTAAATTTTTTTAAAAATAGCTGAGGATGTAGCTCAATTCAAAGCCCCTGGATTCAATCCCCAGTCCCTCTTCTTCCCACCAAAAAAAAAAAAAAAAATTATACTTCCAGGTTTTTTTGTTTGGTTTTTGGGTTTTTGTTTTTGGTTTTTTTGTTGTTGTTGTTTTCTCTTTATTTTAGGGAAGGGTCTACAGGGTGTTCAGGGTCTCACTACTAGATTGGACTCTTAGTGATCCGCCTGTTTACAGCCTCCCAAAAGCTGGAATTACAGGCGTGTGCCACCACGCCCAGTGTCAACTGCTGTCTCAGCATGCCCTGGGGGTGGGCCTGGCATGGCAGGCCCGGGGATCGAGCCCCCAACCCCTTTAATCCACTGATCTATTTGGCAGGCCCTTACACTGCCATTTGAAAGAAAGAAACACATCTAGTTTGCTGACGCATTTGAACTGTGACTTTTTCACTTAAAAGTTGACATTATCATTACATATTTGATGCTAGCAGTTCTTGTATTTTAAAAACTTTCCTTCATCTAAGTCACTGGTTCTGAAAGTATCACATCCGACCACCTTGTCACTAGAACTTGGGAAGTTGGTAAAAATGCAAACGCCTCATCTCAAAGTAACAAAAATCTAGAATTCTAGGGGACAGGACCCAGAAATGTGTTTTCAACTCTCCTGTGTTTCTAAGCCACAGAGCCTAACGCTCAGCAGAGTTAAGAAGCCCGCCTAGGTCATCAGGTCCCTGAGTCACCTCACACATTCCTAGGTGCGTCCGCAGGGTGTGGAGAATGCTGAGACTTTACGGTGACATTTAGCAATGTTCCATCCGATTTCAGGACTTACTCCAGATGCAGTATGAAGGCGTAGCCGTGATGAAAATGTTCGACAAGGTCAAAGTGAACGTGAACCTCCTCATCTACCTGCTCAACAAGAAATTCTACGGGAAATGATGGCCTGCGGAGGGGCGTGGGCGCCCCATGCCTGGATGGAGAAAGGAATTTGTTAGTATTTTTGTTTCTAAACATGATTGGAATTACTGCTTATAAATGTGTGATTTAAAGACCAAAACTGTTGCGAAGAATGTACCCACGTGCCTTTTTGTGCTCTGATAGTCCAGTGGAATGAGACGTAGAACGAATCAATGCAGATGCGTCCATGTTGTCTGGGATGTAGCTTCCCCAATTTGGAACTCTGGACACCCTGTGATTGGTTTTAAATGGGGGGGGGGGAGTGTAGCTGATTTAGGGACAAATGTGTAAACCTATTTTCCTATGAAAAATTTTAAGTGTCCCACTTGAATAATGTAATTCTTCATAGATATTATTTATCTGTGGAGAAACAGCAACCTAATTAATTTGCAACGAATTGTTTATGTTTAGACATAGAGTGCTAAGCCCTGCCTCTGGGAATTACCCATTTTAAAGCAACCTTTTGTGCAATTCAAGATGAAGTTTTTATAAGTAATGGAAAGTGACAATACAATAACACTTTCTGTATGAAAGTATATATTTTATGTGATTTATTCCTACTAAGTGAAAGTGCACTACTGCTTCATGTTAGGGCTCGCATACAGAGCCTGAAAATGATTAAGGAGTAACATAGATAGCAATCATAGCCCCTCCCTCCCTTCACAATTTATTTGAATACTTCAATTGTGCCTCTTGATTTTTGTAATGCTACAAAATCAGTATAGATGGTTTTAAAATGTATTCTTTGAAAATTGTTTTATGTAAAATAAATGTTACTTAATTAATGTGGCTCTTAAGTTGTTTAAATCAATTCTAAATCATTTAGTGAGTAGAATATTTTAGGAGGGCCTCTTCAGAAAAAGAAATAATGGGCTGGGCATGGGGGGGTATGCCTATAATCTCAGCGCTTGGGAGGCTGAGGTGGCAGAATCGCTGTGAGTTTGAAGCCAGCATAGACTACAGAGTGAATTCAAGACCAGCCTGAACTACATAGCAAGATGCTGTATCAAAAAGATGAAAGATCCTACTAATCTATTTTGAAATTGTCTCATTGCTATTTGTTTCTCAATAAAATTATTTTTTAAGAAAGAAAGAAAAGCAGAAGCCGTAGGGTTAGCTGGAGCAATCTGCTGTGAGGAAGAGATACACAGCCCTGCAGCTGAAACAAAACAGGAGTTTCTTTTTTTCTCTCCCAACACCCAGGAAGGAAGCAGTAACACAGGCCATGTCTGCTTCCATTCCATTGGCTAAAACCTAGTAACTCGGTTCCAGACAGCTAACTACAGTCCCTGCTTGGGATCTGAAGTAGAGGACTTCACAGAGGGAAGCTGGATGATGCACTCTTTGCTCTAGCAGTCTGGGAGCGTGGCACCCCATCCTCCTGGCTTCTGGTCAGAGCCTCATAGCAGAGGGTCCCACAGGTGGAAGAAACAACAGCACAGGTGACATGCTACATAATGCCCCACTCTGTGGTGACTGATTCTCCCCTAAGACCCAGCTCCTTTGAGACCAAATCAGCTCTTGGGACCTATCCCAGTCTCCACAGGACATCAAACCACCCCTGAAGGTACAACCTGTGAGCTCCTTACCTCTCAGGGTCACACCCTCTCTCCAAGCCTTAACCGTGAGAACCACTGTTCAAGGTGACTTCAGAGGGTCCAAAACACAGCCACACTCAGCGGTCCCTGAGCAGGCAGCCCACATCCAGAGAGGACCCTCGATGGAGAGGGATGTGCTTCTGTTTCTGGAAAGAATTAAAAGTGACCATAGGGACAACGTGGCTATCCCATTACAAAACAAGCTTAGGGACTACAAAATAAGCTCAGTGGGCACAAATGAATTTAAGGGTAAGACCAGTAGAACTTTGGGAAACTACAAAACATTTTTGAAAAGTAGAACCTGCTACTTCAGTAATTATGTCGCACTATCTATGGTTTGGACAGGTGACTGCCTCAAAAAAAGGCTGTCTCAACAGCTTGTGGGTGTGAGGGGGATTTTTATACATTTGATTGCTATAGAAGGAGTCAACTACACAGCTAGGTCTTACCTTGAGAGTAATCCTCCCTCCCCCACTGCTACTCGTACTGGATGGCCATAGCTGGATCCAGGCCTCAGGGCGATGTGCTGACTTCTTCCTCCTTGCTCCAGGAAAGACTTGGAGTAGGAATACACAGCACAAGCCAAAACTCGGGAGCAGTGGAAGCAAAAGCCAGTGTTTCCCAGCATCCTTGACAAGAGTGTGTCTTTAATTAGCCCGACACCGAATGGTCTGCTTTTGGCTCTGTATGAAGAGGGCACCTGGCCAGTGGCCTCTAGGAAAGTGGAGAATGTGTGCCATCTGCAGGTCCATGTATTATAGATGCCATCAGAGATACCAGGTGCTCCTTGTATAAGATCTTTTTGTTTGGTACCAGGAATCAAACTCAGGGCTTTGCAATTGCCAGGCAGGCGCTGTGCCACTGAGCTGCATTCCCAGCCTCTTTGTCTGAGATCTTTAAGGGACACAGATGAGTTTGGTGAAAAACAGAAGCAAGAATAAGCCAATGGCATACTTATTTACAGACCTAAGTTTGCAAAGATGGTTGGCGCCACAGCCCCGGCCGCTCAGGAGGACTGATCCTTCCCCGAGCAGGGCACAGTTGTTCCTGGCAACTATTATCCACATGGGGCTCCTGTCCAGCTTCTTCCTGGGAAGCACAGCCTTCCTTCCTTGGTGCAGACCTTTTTCTTTCAGGCACTGTCCCGTGTGCGCTGATGTGGATGTGTGGTTGGACACATTAGAGGTACAATTCATGATGTGATGTTTTATGACCTTGTGGTTAAATATTTGTGGTCTTCCTCAGACATCCCATCCTGACTGGCAAACCACAGAACTCTGGATGGTGAAAACTCTGGCGAGACTTGGGTGAGCTTTGTGAAAACACTTTTGCCTCTGTTAGTGAGATGAGGCCTTGGTAACAGGTTCGTATGGGGAACAGGTTCTCTGTTTCAGTCTGTCAGTTCAGAGCCTGCGGGCCTTGTAAGTGGCAGGCACGGGCAAGGGTTCTGGCAGTGGATGAAAAGGAGCCCAGGCCCTCCCCCCATCCACTGCCCCTCAGGAGTCAGCACCACTCCTGGGCTGGCACTTGTATGAACAGGGCTTACTATGGCTTTAATATGAAGTGAGCCCCAAAGACTCGTGTGTTGGAGCTGGAGCCCCAAAGTAGTAATGTTCAGAAGTGGGGTCTAGAGAAGCCACTGGACTGAGGGCACTGACCTTATAAATGAATGAGCTACTTACGAGCTCATGGTGGAATGGGCTAGTGGGGGATGGAAGCTAGTTGAGGGGAGTGAGTTGGGGGCCTATCCTTAGGGACTCGATGGTGTCCCCAGCCGCTGCCACCCCCCCCCTTATCTTTCTCTCTTCCTTTCCCCCTCTCTCTCTTCCTCTCCCTCTTCCTTTACCTCTCTCTCTCCCTCTTTCTTTTTCTCTCTCCCTACTTCCTGGCTAGATGAGGTAAACAGCTTCCTCTTCCTCTGTGTGTCCCAGCTGCCACGACACTTCTGCCTCTCCCTAGACCTAAAGAAGTGAAGCCCATAAGCCATGGACTGCAGCCTCTGGAACTATGAGCCAAAGACAGTTTGCCCTCATTTTAATTTTCTCAGGCATTTTGTCCTAGTGATGGAAAATTAACCTAGATCTTTTAATGCTTAGGTCAAATAATGAAAATTATTTCAAGTTCCAAACAAAATAGCTCATCCAGATTTCCGAGGTTGCCTCACTGCTGAACTCCCTAGAACATAAAACCACTGAAATATGTTAGAAGGGAAATCAACAAGCAGAGCTAAAAGACATAGAATTTATTTTAACTAGAATGAAGGAGGTTTGGGGTTCTTTTATTTATTTATTTATTTATTTATTTATTTTTATCTTTTTGTCTGTTTTGTTCTTAACTTATACTGAGTTTCACCTTTTCTTAGCAACCTAACCCATCAGGCTGAACTCCCGTCCTCTCCAGGGTAACTGCTGATCCATCAGAGAGTTAACTACTTCTAAACCCAAAGTACACATATAGGTTTATAGCCCCCTCCCCAAAAAAAAAAAGACAAAGTAGGACTTCTGTTCCTTAGCAGATTACAACTTACTGTTTTCTTAGAAAACAATCACTGCCACCAAATGCTAAACTGGGACTGCCTTCAGGTGCACTGTACCAGCCACCGTGTGCAGGCATGGTGGCACAGACCTATAATCCCAGCACTGGGAAGGTTGAAAACAGGAGGATCACTACAAGTCTGAGCTGCATAGTGAGACCTTGTACCAAATACATTTTAAAAAATGAAAACAAATGTGGAGCTCTCTCCACAGAACCTGGAATATCTCACCCCTACGTTTAATACAAGGGAGTAAATTACTAGGCAGGCTGTTAGAATACACAGTATTGTTGTCTTTGGATAGCTTTGAATAGGGGCAGGTTAGCCAGAATACCTGAGGCTAGTAGATCATCTAATGGTTTAAAAGGAGGCTTGGGTTAAAACTTTTATCATCTTAGTGTGCCCTATTTGTTCTAAAATACTACCAGATACCATAAACATGGGAGGATGGAATGGTACTGGCTCACGCTATTTGGTCAGGCAAGTCAGAACAGACAAGATGAAAGGCAAGAGCTAATACCAAGTAGTTCCAGTGTGAATGTTCCTTCAAAGTTGAGATTTCACTTCTGAGGAACATGTTTAGCAATTCTAGTTAAGGAAATTGCCAACATGGTTATTGTCTCTGGTTAGGACAATTCTCTAGTCTAGGCAACCTCCATACACTTACTCTAAAACCCACAGAGGGCTGGCCAGATAGCTCAGAAGATTAAAGTGCCTGCTTAGGCAGATGCAGGGACCAAGTTTCAATCCCCGGCATGTGGTGCTGACCCACCCCTGGGGCCTGCTGAGACAGTAACTGAGACTGAGCGTGGTAGCTCATGCCTGTAATCCCAGCACTTGGGAGGCTGAAAACAGGATCACTATGAGTCAAATCTGTATAGTGAGACCTTGCAGACCCTGCACTAAATACATTTTAAAAATGAATAAATAAAACCCAGAGAGATGCAAGAGTCATATTTTTTTTTTTTTACAGCAGTATGTGACAGTATGGGAATTTTGTAAAAACTGAGGAAAAGCAGAGAAAAGAGAACTTCAACAGACCCTAACACAAGATTAGAAATTAATTTAAAGTTTTGGTCAAAATTTCCAGCAATTTGTGGATTGAATACTTAATGACAGTAACAAAATCTTTAGACATGAACTGTATAGATGTATGTACCAAAACTTGCAAAAAGTAGCTGAAGTCGTCCTTAGGGAGAAGGTGCATAGGGTTGGGGAGATAGCTCAGTGGAATAAATGCTTGCCTGGCAAGCAAAAGGTCCTGAGTTCAATCCCTGGTACCACCAAAAAATAAAAAGGGAGAAGGGGTAAAGATTAACAAATGGCTCAATTAGATGAAAACCCCCAAAAAAGTAAAATGAAAGAAAGAATTTTTTTTAAACTGTGAAAACTAATGACAGGCTGGGGAGATGGCTCAGTAGAATAAGTGCTTGCCTGGCAAACGCAAAGGTCTGAGTTCAATCCCCGGTTCCGAAAAAAAAAAAAAAAAAA